ACTTACTACATACTGTGTACGATAGCAGTATGCATGATGTTATGATGATATTACTGGTTGACCTGGTTTAGCTGGTTTCTGGTATGGACAAGTCTACCGTGCCCTGGTAAACTGCAACGACACTGCAGACTACAGGTCCATTCATTTACACACTAAAAAAATCTTTTGTGTTTTAATTTGTTTTTTTTCTGGATTTTTTTAGCCCGACACCATCAAAACGTGTTCTGTCTCTGCGATGACTCGCCGATCTGGTGTCATTTGATTCTCATCACGGCGCTGTAAAAACAGCAAAGTTAGTCTCCTTGTGTTTTTTTCCTCCAGTGTCTTTTGTTGGATTTTGCTTTTGGATTTTTGTTTTTGTTGCTTTTCATTTAGTTCTTTTTAATAAACCCTTTTTTTTCTCTGCATTTTCGGGTCCCTTTCCTTTGTTTAACCCTGCGTTGTGACAAATGTAAGATTTTAAAGTCCCTTTATCTGTTAAAACTGATATTTAGCCATTTTTAGACAAATTCGAGATTTACTCTCTCTTGTGCAAAGACCAAAATCTGAACTTTATCATTTATTCTTTAACTTTATTCTCACAACATCAAGACTCTTTTTTTCCTTTTTATAACCTCGCCTTAGAAGAACAAATAAGCTTAAATTTATTATCAAACTGAGTTGTTTATAAAAGTGTTGAGCACGATTAAACTCTCCTGAACTTAAATTTCGTACCTGCAGCTTTATCAGGTTGAATATTTTTACCTCTCTTCACCGTCTCGATCAGAAAACGTCCTCTTGAGTTTCTATAAAACCTGCAGATTCTCTCTGAATACAACCTCCTCCCAAACTAAACTGTCCATTAACATTTCACCTCATGTTTCGGTCGTTTAGAGCAAATATTATCCATTGTGCCGAGGACTCCGCTCATCCATCATACTCTGAAAAACATATTAGCTTATGTTTTTGACTTGTGCCCCAGTATGAATTATTCAATGAGCTATTCATTACGGTGACAGGACCTGCACACAAAGGACGAGTCCCGTCGCAGACTCAACCTCTCTGCCTTCCTCTGAGGAGTTTGGAAAGCTTTCAGAATAATTACATTGTGGTTTTCGAGAGTCCTGGTTCTCCATCTACCCCTTTTGTTTTTAGAACAACCAGAACCGATATGATTGGTTCAGACGCAGGTCGATCAGAACCGCAAAGGACAGACTGAATCAGCTCAAATATCGGAAATTTCACTTTTTGATTTAAAACTATTCATGCAGTTGTTTGGTTCTACACCAGTCAGAGACAGAAGCATTTGGACATTAACTCATTCAGTGCCAGGTTCATTTGCCCAGTGCCAGCATTGACCGCAATAGAATTTCCTGTATCTTTCAAAAACCTCAGAATATCTGGTGTTTGGACTAGAATTAAGTGCAATATCTCAAAAGAAAGGAGTGATTCTTTTCTTTCACCAGAAAAAAAAGTTTGTCTCTAACCCACTCCTGTTTTAGTTATTGCCTGCTCAATGCAGGGTGGTCATATCATCTTTGCCGATCTTGAAAAATGAAACCTTAGAAAAACACATTCTTACGAAGGAGAGACTTTCAAGCAGAACTCTGATCGTCTATTTCATTTTACTTTAAACCACTTTAATGATGGCATCAAGGTCCTCCCTCCTCGGACACCACTCCTCATCACTCTCCAGATCCGATTGTGATAGGTCACTTTTTGACGGCTGGGAGTCTCCAGAACCTGATGCCGCGATGTAAACCGCACGGGCTGCTTGAGTCCTCCTTGCCGGGACTGTCGCTGAATTCCAGCTCAGTCTCGCTCACTATTATCGGCACCAGCGACACAACGACACACCGGAAAATTGTTTCTTTGATTGTCTGATGATGATGTGAAGGTCCGGTATTGGGATCTCCACTGGATCCAGAGACGGTAGCACCACGCCCATGTGAGCTGATGCGCGGAGACCGTTAGCTCTTGGTTAATGACTTCGGCATTCCCCGACTCTCCTCATAGAGAAAAAAAACACTCCACAACATGGCTAATTGGCATCACACTTGATGGCACACTTCACACTGGTGAGTACTTGTGTTTGTTCTTGTAACATGGCTATTACGTATTTGTTGGCTTTTCTGCATTCAGAAGGACCCCAAACTTAGTAGCGTGTTGGGGAGGAGCACCCTCTGGTGGAAAACAAAAAACAGAAAAATCCATTAAAATCTGTCCTTGGCACTGAATGAGTTAAAACGATATTCCGTGTAAAATTAATTTAGGGTCAAACACACCGTCACACCGAGTTAGACCCCCCTCCAGAGATGAATGTTGCCGACCGCTTGCTTCTCTAGTTTTACCAACTTTAGTAACGACTGCAGGATAGCAATACACAGCAGTCTGAGGAGCCATTAACAAACCTCAACCAAAACGCCACTCTATAGCCACAAATAATGCTCAGAACAGCACCTAACTTCATCAACAGGACATATAGGGTCACAGACATAGTACTAGACACCAAACATCTTTTTAACTTTGACTCATTTCTTTAGCAAAGAGACTAAACACAACTCACCTACTCTCCTCCAGCAGCCGCTTGTTTGTAGCGAGACCTCAGGCCAGTCCATTACAGACTACAGCGGGGTGACGCAGCTCAAGGAAGAACATTTCTGGTCATGTTACTAAAGTTGGTATAACTAGAGAAGCAAGCGGTCGACAACATTCATCTCTGGAGGGGGGGTCTAACTCGGTGTTACGTGTGTTTGACCCTAAATTAATTTTATGCCGGAATATCCCTTTAAGATCAGTAAATATTAGTAAAGTGAAGCTCCACAGTTGGCTGTGTGGTGGTCAGACTAAAGTAACGCTGCTAAAAACTCCAGTGAAGGGTAGAGCTCCTGACGTAGATGGATGGCAGACCTTATTTAGAACCGGGTGCTTTTTAAAAACTGGCCCTTGTGTACTTACACGGCTGCCATAATCACAACAGGCCATTAATCTCCGTCCTTTTTCTCAGAGCCAAAGTCGAGCAGCAGACAGATACACAGCACTGCAGGCGTTTCTCAGCATCTCCGTGCTCAGCAGAAGTGTTGGGCAACACTAAAATGAAGGATTATAATTTCAGTAATAATCACAGTTAACCTCATTAGAGCTCTGTTACCCTCACAATCTGCTGAGTCAGAGAACTTCGCAGAAAACTGTAGCCTTTAAGAATTCTCTCTCTTCCCCTGAACTTTCCAAAACCCAGCAACACGGGTTCAGCTGTTAATGAAATGTTAGACCTTGAGGCACCAATGCTGTGACGCAGTCTTAAAGGAAAGCATCTTAAAAAAACAATAATTACTAATATCAGTACACACAACCAGCCAGCAGGTGGCAGCAAAGGGGTTTATCTCTTAAATTAAAACATGATAAGTAAGGCATGCAGTGTCGGTGTAAATCCTGTTAACATGACGGGGGAAAGGAGGGAGGAGCTGAAAATAATATTTAAGGGGAGCGCTTTAGCTAACATTATCTTCTATTGGAGGATATTTTGCAGGAGAAACTGAAATATTGTTATTAGGTTGGAGATTCCTTTGCAGGACAAGCTAAAAATAGCACCGTTTGGGAAACCATATTTGCAGGAGAAGCTGAGAGTCTAAAGAGCTTAGATCTGATCAGCTGAAATTCAAGATTTAACAGGATAGCAACAATTTAGACCACAAAGACAAGGAGCTGGCTAACGAAGAGGGCTGGACTTCTGGTGTTTTGTGATGCTAATATGCCCCCTGACTTCTTTTTCAAACTCTAAGATCAGTGCTACCATGGATCAGTTGTTAATTAAATATGTATACTTTGCTGTTATGTTGTGTAGATCAGGTACCATCTCACTGTTACTGCTCAAATACTCATTTTGTACTTTTTCTGCATTGCTACATAGAACTATCACTTCCTAGATGTGCATAAAAGCCTTAAAATTTGAGTTTGCTGCACAAATATACAATGTACAGACAGTAATTGTCTTTTTCTGCAAACGTCAAACCTGTCCAACCTCCACAAACAGGAATTATATCCTGTCATTGGATTAGCAGTGACACAGAATTCAGATTACATAGAGAGCAGAAATCCAGACAAAGACAGCGTCAATACTAAACAGTGTTAAAGATTTCGCTCCATATTGAAATGCTTCTTTGACTTTCTAGAATCTGCAGAGTGCACTTACTGCCATTGTGAGTCTATATTTAAGATTAGATAAGATTTTTTATGAAACTTCTTTTTATTGCTTCATTTTCAGATGTTTGTGTTGTATTTGCTTTATAACTAGTGTGAACTTGAGCCTACAGTGATATTGGTAGGTTATTGACATGTTGAAATATTGCTAGGTTGATCATTTATCAACTTTCAGGACAGAGTTTGACTTTGAGCTCTGCTGTGTTAGTAGACGATAGGCTAAAGGACACTAACTAAACCCTCAAGACAAACAGACGAGGTGATTTCAGTGACTCAGTTTGATGATTTTTATTGTTTTCACCCACAATCAGAGACTTGACCACAATCTGAGCTGAGTCAGAAACAGAAAAACAGTCGGACTAATAAATGTGATTATTATTATTAGAGTGATTGAAAAGCTCATAACAACATGTAGATCTGTCCAAAGTCTGATTCTAGATGTCTTTACAAACACACTGATCCAACAGAAGCAGACAGAAATATCCATCGATCACATGAACACAAATATTCAGCAAACAGAGAAAGAAACAGATCATCTGAAGAGTTTTTGGGGATGACTGGAAAGACTTTAGACGCTTGGATTTGGGACAGGAAATAAGGTTGTCCTTTTTCTGTGATTTTGACCTCACTTTTTTCTAAAGTCTCAGACCTTCAACATCTGCACCAACTGAAGGTGATTTGAACAAACCATCATCTTGATGTGGTGATATCAAACTTGATGAAGATTTTTCAACATGAGAAACACAAACAATCAAAGTTCTCCACAATCACTGTCCTTAAAGCTGCGACCAAATCAGCATCTTTAGAAAAGAATGAAAAAGCTGAAATGAAGAACTAAACCCAGAGTTTTTGGTGAGACTGATCCACAAACATTTACAAACCAGAACATTTCAAGAGTTCAAGGATCTCAGTCCATGATTTTGGTCTGATGGACTCAAAATTCTCTTTATTTCACTTCTATAAACTCAGCAGAGTCTCCAAACCAGCCTAACATCAGTCCAGCATGTAGAGGTTCAGTGAATGTGGTCTGGACTCTGTGGAGGAGAGTCATGGTTTTAGAGACGCTGTAGAAGGACAGAATACCTGCTCTGTGGTCCAGGTACACTCCTACTCTGGAGGACTGAGGACCTGAGACACGAGTGCAGACTTTGTTGTGAACAAATTGATAACTGTCTTTGGAACAGAATAACCTCCAAGATTTGTCATTTTCTCCAAATTTACAATCCTCTGAGTTCCCGTCTCTCCTGATAGTCTTGTATGCGACTGCTACACCAACCCCACCCCCTCTCCGCTCCACCTCCCAGTAACAACGTCCAGTCAGACTCTCTCTACTCAGGACCTGAAGACAATCAGTGAATCTGTCTGGATGATCAGGATAAGACTGTCGTTGTTCTGTCCATGTTGCTCTTCTGTTTCCATCAAATAATTTCAGCCATCTGTGTGCTGTGTTTGGATCCAGTGTGATTCTTTGTGAATATCTTAAGAAATCAGCTCTGGTCTTGGGTTCTGGTTCTAACAGTAAAACATCCACTTCAGTCACTGCCTGTGAGACGTTTGTCCACGTCTCTGTCAGAAGATCCTGGAGTTTCTCTCTGACCTCTGACACAGCTGCTGTCACCTCCTCAAAGTATCTCAGAGGACGGATGTTGATTCTGGATGAGTCTGCAGGTTGACCCGGTTCTGACAGTGAGGGGTAGCTGTGCAGAAACTGGTTGTGGTCCTCTGTGAGTGAGAGCTTCTGCAGATCAGCGTCTTTCCTCTTCAGCTCAGTGATCTCCTGCTCCAGTTTCTCCTGAAGCTCTTTGACTCGACTCACTTCACGTTCCTGCTGGGATCTGACCTGCTGCTCCACCTCAGAGCGGCGTTTCTCCATCAGACGGATCAGCTGGTTGAAGATCTTCTGGCTGTGCTCCACAGCTTTATCAGCAGAGCCGTTGATAGCCTCCACCTCCTGTTGGAGCAGCTTCACATCTTCTTCTCTGTCCTTGATTCTCTGCTGGATGTTTTCTTTCAGATCTTTCTGCCTCTCAGTCCTTTCTGCTGCAGCTGAGACTGTGTCGTGACCTTTGTGTTGGTCCAAACAGCAGAGATGACAGATGGACTTCTGATCAGTGCGGCAGAACATCTTCATCACCTCATCATGACGAGAGCAGATGTTCTCCTGGAGCTTCTTGGAGGGCTCCACCAGCTTGTGTTTCTTAAATGAAGGTGATTCAAAATGAGGCTGGAGGTGAATCTGACAGTAAGAAACCAGACATTGAAGACAGGACTTGACAGATTTCAGTTTTCTCCCACTGCAGAAATCACAGGCCACATCTTCAGGTCCAGCCTCAGAGGAACCATCAGGAGCAGCTTGGAGTCCGCTCTTCTTCAGGTCCTCCACTAAACCTGCTAACATGGTGTTTTTCTTCAGGACAGGCCTCGGTATGAAGGTCTGTCTGCACTGAGGACAGCTGTAGATCCTCTTCTCAGCCTCAGTATCCCAGTAGGATTGAATACAGCTCATGCAGAAGCTGTGTCCACAGGTAACAGTCACCGGATCCTTCAGAAGATCCAAACAGATGGAACAAGAGAAAGACTCACGGTCCAGATGAACTCCTTTCTGCGCCATTTCAACACTCGCTGTCGACGACGACTGACTGAGATTTATTTCCTGAGAAGTGAAACTAGTCTGAGCTCTGATCTCAACAACATGTGTCAGTCAGCAGGATCAGCTCAGCACACAGCGGTTACACCCAACCTTTAGGCTGTAGATCTGAGGGGGAGGAAGGAAGGCAGGGAAGGAAACAAGGAAGTGAGAGTGCAGAGTGGAGTGAGCTGTGAGAGAGGAGGGAGGGGGGATCCAGTTTGTCTACAATCCAGGACGAGGAGTGTCTCTGTGAACTTTAGACTCTCAAACTCCAACAAGCAGAAGTTCTTAAAGCTGCAGCCGTCCTGAAGATCAACTGAACCAACATTTATTCACCTCATAGAAACCTCATCGAGCAGAAACACACTTCAACTGTTTTAGAGACACAGAGTTAGAGATACAACACAGAGAAACACTCTCTCTCTCTCCTCCCTCTCTGCTCCAGCAAGCCCCGCCCACAAACAGACGCTCCTGCTCGCTCGTATCGTTCCAGTTAAATTCAGATATAATGCAGATAAATACTTCAGATCATTACAAATGGGGCCCAGTCAAGGTGAAAGTCAAAAGCATTGGTGCTACTGTAGATGCCAACAGACTACCAGCAAACACAATGTTTGCAGGACTTCTACAACGAGGATAAAGTGACATAGTCCAGGACCCGAGGGAGGACAGTTTAGCGATGGCGCTACAACACGCTACAGCAGGTCCGTTTGACAAGAAACACTTCTGTTACAGACACTTGTCTTACTTTGTTAAAGCGGTTTACCTGTCCAGCAGAAAGGTTACAGGGTCACCAAGATCCCCAAGCGTCCCCCATCGTTTATGTTGACCCGGCTTTTTAGCTCTTGTCCGGTCTACCTCCGTTTTAAGCGCCCGTTATTCCTCCAGAGTCTCCGGTATTTACTTTGTTTTCTTGCTTGTGTCGGCAGTCGTGGCCAAAGGAGGATTCAGACAATTTTCCGAACTTTCTGGTTGGTTTCTACTGTCCGATATTGTAGCACGCTAACTTTGTTTGGGCTCCTGAACGACACGGGGGAGCAGCGTTTTCTTGTTGACTGTTTTCTTGTTGACTGTTTTCTTGTTGACTGTTTTGGTGTTGACTGTTTATGGTTGACTGTTTTCTTGTTGATTGTTTTCTTGTTGACTCTTTTGGTGTTGTCTGTTTTCTTGTTGACTGATTATGTTTGAGTGTTTTCTTGCTTGTGTCGGCAGTCGTGGCCAAAGGAGGATTCAGACAATTTTCCGAACTTTCTGGTTGGTTTCTACTGTCCGATATTGTAGCACGCTAACTTTGTTTGGGCTCCTGAACGACACGGGGGAGCAGCGTCTGCCTCACAACCAATCAGGTTAGAGGAGGTGGAGAACGGCTTTGTTTACAGTCAGAAAGAGCGGACCGCTCAAAAATGTTCAAATGTTGACGACACAGACATAAGAGAACACAGAGATATCGATATATTACCAAATGTCATCAATAACTAATAACTATTGACTGATATTAAAAGATTTTTTGTTGACGCTTCTTTAACGGATTCCTGTCTACCCCACCATCAAGGGGGCTAATAATTTTTACCCTGGTAGTTTTTGTGTTTTGTGAAATAATTTTGTTTCTGTCTGCAAAGTCAAATAATGTAAGGATCCAAAATAAAACTAGGATGTTTGGAAAAGCTCAAATTTCATCGGGGGGGCTAATAATTTTGGCCACAGCTGTAATTACTAAATCGTCTCCACCTTGTTGATGGTCCTCGCCGCACATTCATGACGTGGACGTGTGTTTTAAAGGCTTTCCTCCTGACCTCAGTTTGGACCCTATCTCTCTAAATCACAGATTTCTCTTTCCTCACGTTTCCTTTTAACTGCAATTTGCCTGCTTGACAGTTTGAGCCGTGCGTCAGGAGCCTGACAGCTTCCTGGAAAAAAGCAGCACTAAATTTAGTCCTCGCTGCGGTGCATGTGAGGTAAAGACCGCGGGCCCCTGGCAGCTGGTGGAGTAGAATAAGACGCTTATGTAAAAGAGAGAAAAAAATAAAACAATTGTGAATGGTTACAGGAGGACAAAGGCGCTTCATGCAGAGCAATTCAACGCTGAGAGTTTCCACTTTACAGCCGTGATTAATTCAGGGTGTCCAAATCGTTTCACTCTGGGCTATTTCTCTGAAATTGATTTTCACAAACTTGCACAGGTCCCCGTCAGCGCAGAGTTAGTTCGACATAAAAACAAAGTCTCCACATTAGCGATGCCTCTGTTTCTCCGTCTCTCTGAGTTTCGCTCTTATTTATGTGGGAGGGTTTGGGGGCCTGCTGCATGTCTGCGCCTGAGGGGCTGCTGTTTCATAACACCTCCATCTCTCTGCAGCAGGCGGAGAAACTGAGAGGAGAGTTTTTACAGTGGATTTATTGGTGCAACATCTGCAGAACATTTTCATCTTCACCCTGCAACAAAAGAGCGTTTTAGTCAGCGTGTAAACCCAGGAGGGCCGGCTCACGGTAAAGGCAGGACATGTTTCAGCGAAGGAGGAAGAGGCAGAATTTAACCATCGAATAGTTAGCAGCCGCGGCGAGGTCTGTCATAAAGTGCCCTGAAGTTAACTGCAGCAGGTCTCTGCTGATGTCAGTTTTCTTCCCCCAATAAAAATAAAAGTTGTGGGTGTCTGCAAAGTTTGTTTCTGCCCACACAAACGCACTAAAACCCAACCCCTCAGAGTTTCTCTGAAACAAGGCAGCAGCAGCAGTTTTATGTGAGTCTGAGAGGTTCCGGTGAGGATTCTGGATTCTGTACTGACCCGGTCTTTCAGTCGAAACAGAATCAGATGTTTTCGAAATCATTTAAGCATCAAGTTAAATTTTAAAGAAATACAAAAACTACATCTTATAAGTTTAAATTCTTGATTTCAGCTGTTTGACTTTGAAGTCTTTTTTGTCGTATGTTCGTCAGCAGGACTCTTCTACTACAGAGCCATGCTGTTGTGATCAGGGGTGTACCTGTACGGCTTTTTTACTTCTGATCTGATACCGATATTGTAGCCTTCAGTTTTGGCTGATACTGATATTGATCCGATATTGGCATAAAAGTGCACATGACAAGTTTTGCACTCAGCTGCAACATCTTTAGTACCTTAGTACACACTGTTGTTGTTGTTGTGATCACATGGGCTCTACATGCTGGATCCAGGCGCTGCTGGATAGAAGTGCCGGAGCGGAGTCTGGAATGGACTGCTTGTATCGGAGATTTTAGATGCTGGCTGATATAATCCTATATTTGATTATTTGCTGATATCGGACCAATACAGAGTTTTTCCCTTTGATGTTTGTCAGCAGCAGCGCTTGTTCGCCTCACTCTCTTGCTCTCTTGTCACTCATGGAGCTATGCTGTTACGTTGACGTTTCTTTACTTTACCCATGAGACTCGCTTTATAGACCGTGTATAAGCTTGATCGTTACCTTTCACATTAATGGAAGAGGGTCAGACAGGATTTGATGCGCTCGTTGATGACTCAAAACAAGTCGAAAATAAAGACGTATTGTTGGGCTCACACGGTGCAAGTAGAAAGGGGGAAACACTGCAATATCTGATATCGGATATCGGATATCAGTCTGATATTGATGTTGGATACTGGTCCGATATTGATATCGACCGATCTCGGATATCAATATCGGATCAGGACATCCCTGATTGTAATCCCTGCAGAACGTGGTTTGTCTTTATCTTGATGGCAGTATATATATATATATATATATATATATATGTTACCAAAACCTGTGAAATCATCCAATGACGATGAAGGAGATGAACTAAGGCGGTGAGACAAAGTGTTTGTTTAATAGATCAATGAATAAACTTTTGAGACAGTCGTTATTTTGCAAATCCAGCTCCAGTATCTCCAGCCACAACTTACAACTTACCAAAAACTCCTAAAAACGAACTTGGAAATGCGGTCCTCATGAAACGTCACGCAGTCAAACATCTCCTCCAGACTGGATGTATGAGAATCATCCGACGTTCTCCAGCTTCAGGACAAAGATGTAAATCTCTCTCTGAGAACAGGTGTGTCTTTACCCGCTTTGAAAGTGTATTCTTGGAGACGTTTTCACTCGGAAACCGCCTTTTTTTGTACTTCAGGCTGCAGAGCGTCACCTCGCAGAACAACAAGGACGGCGTCGGGTTGGTGGAGTCAAACTGTGAGGGTGAAGAAAAGAAGAAAAGTGGTGAAGAGAGAACTGGAGGTGTGTCCTATGACTAAATTTAGCAGTGCTGAATATCTTGGTATGTAAATGGAGCGACTGTATGAATGTTTCATTGAGGATCGGGTGAGGTAGTGTGTGCAAAGAGAGGGCCAACACATTATCAAATATACATCATAACCTTTTTAAAGGGGCTGTTAACAGAAGGTGTGTGGGCGGGGACTATAACTCAGTGAGTCACGAGCTCGCTCTCCAAGAACCCTGACCCCGCTGTGAGGTTATCTCCAACGCTTTTTAAGAGGTTTTTTTTTTTGGTCCATTAAGTGGAGATTTGATGTAGATACGACCCCGCGATAGCTCACAGTGAACCGAAGTGAAGATCAAGTCAGAGAGAGTTCACTTCGACTGCATGAATAAAACACAGACTGTCAGGAACTTTGCACCGGCAAACAATCCACACGGGGAAAACCACTTGGCAAATAAAAACAGTATTTTAGAGTAAATATGGTTTATATTTTATGAAGGGAATGTGGAAACCGTTTGAAAGGGGATGCTCTCCGTGATTTATCCAACAGAAATGATCACACTGAGCTGTTTGAAGCAGAATAAACACCCGCCCTGAAATAACAGCTTTTTTCTCTTTAGGTTTATTTGATGGTTTCTCAGTGAGTTCAGTTAACCCGATCTGCTCCATCTGAGACCTGCAATGTGACCTGACCCTGTTTATTCATAAATAAGAGGGTTAAAACACTAAAGGAGAGCAGGAGGAGGAGAGAGGAGAGCAGGAGGCGAGTGAGTCTGAAAAGCAAAGGGACAGAAAAAGCCGGTAAAAGAGAGAGGCTGTCGCGATCATGAAGCTAAAGGACATCATCTAAAAACCGTTAAACGACTGAATGTTACATGTTCAACCTGCAGCCTGTGATCCATTTCTGGGGTCGCTGGGGGGGTGGAGCCTATCCCAGCATCTTCAGGGGAAGGTAGGGGACACCCTTGACAAGTCGCCGGTTCATCGCAGGGCTGACATCTAGAGATGAACAACCAGCTGGTAGGATTGGCGTATGGCGAAAATCGGATGCAGTGGAAATCCTGGGAAAGTTAATGATGCCGACAGATGGAGGACAGAGAAGGAGAGGTAGAACCTCCAGCAGTCTTCATCGATATCAGCACACTGGAGAGAAGATGGATTTTTCTGCAGACTGATGATGACTGAGTGACCACAGCTGCAGATAAAGTTACAAACTCTGAAGCCCTAAAAAAAACCAGGAGAGTTCATTGATTAAATAATCCGTCCTAAATGAAATCAAGGGGGAGATGAAAAAGATGGCGCCTGCTTTCAATGAACCTCTTTGTGAATTAGCGCTCATGAGGGAGGAGCTCTTATTTGACTGAGATCCAGCTCCAACAATGAGCTTCAGACGTCCTCCTGCAGAGAATCGTGTCTTCTGTCTGTGCAGAGTTCTCCACCATCACTCTCTCTCTGCAGCTGAAAACCTCGGCAACCTTCCCTGCCACGACTGAACTAACTCACACGGCTGTTCAGCAGCAGGGCAGTGTGTCCTCGTGTCCTGACGAGAAGCAGTCCGGGCAGGAGGTCCCTCTGCACCCTGAGCTGAGGACCGATATGTGATTCAGCTCCACGGTTTGTCACGGCGGGGGGAGATGATTCATTAGTTCTGCACAGTCCAGAGTGATAGCTACACAAGACCAAGTGCTGCAGCGATAAACACCTCAGTAAAGATCCCCGGGAAGTTGTTAGTCCAGTCAAGACCTGCAGGTGAAGTTTCTCTTTGCAATAACATGATGTAGTAATAAACCTGCGATACACGTCCTGATGGCAGACACGTTTATAAGCTCTCCAACAAATGAAACCACCATTTCCACGCTTCTCTGCTTGTTCAGCTCAGATAAAATATTTGCATCTGATCTCTGATGAATTATTCTATCAGCTTCAAAAATGCTCTTTAAAACCCGTGAATATTTTTCTCCTATTCATGAGGTTCAATCCGAGTTCAATTGAAATAATCATGATCCGCAGAAACCACACATCTGTGCCGCCGTGCATTCATTAAAACCTCTCCTTCTCGTGTTGTGTCAGAAAACTCCTGTTTTTATGGTTGGAAATGTTTGCTGCTGCTGCTGCTGCTGCAGAACATTGTGTTTGGCATCTGTCCTCGTCGCTCCCCACAGAGTGATTTTTGCATGTAGAAATTTGAGGAATGACGAGCTGACATAAATCCTCTTAAATGGATCCAGAGATGGAGACTCAACTGTGTGTTTTTATAACCCTGTACCTGCACAAAGCCTGAGTACACCTCCTCTTAAATATAGATATATTATAATAAAGATTACAAGCGCTGTGATTGGTCTGCTAGTACCATCATGTTTCCCTCTACCCCCAGTTTTCACCGCATCCGGAACGGCGGCGATTTTTGCCGTCTGCCAATCCCTACCTACCTAGTTTTCCCTCCTTTATTTATCACTCATGAGTCTCACCTGTGTCTCGTCTGACTCACCTGTTGCTCATTTCCCAGTGTGCGTATACAGTCCCTGACTGTTTTTGAATTGGCCTCCTTCTGTGTACGATAGCAGTATGCATGATGTTATGATGATATTACCGGTTGACCTGGTTTAGCTGGTTTCTGGTATGGACAAGTCTACCGTGCCCTGGTAAACTGCAACGACACTACAGACTACAGGTCCATTCATTTACACACTAAAAAAATCTTTTGTGTTTTAATTTGATTTTTTTTCTGGATTTTTTAGCCCGACACCATCAAAACATGTTCTGTCTCTGCGATGAGTCGTCGATCTGGCGTCATTTGATTCTCATCACGACGCTGTAAATACAGCAAAGTTAGTCTCCTTGTGTTTTTTTCCTCCAGCGTCTTTTGTTGGATTTTGCCTTTGGGATTTTTGTTTTTGTTGCTTTTCATTTAGTTCTTTTTAATAAACCCTTTTTTTGTCTGCATTTTCGGGTCCTTTTCCTTCGTTCAACCCTGCGTTGTGACAAATTCAAGATTTTAAAGTCCCTTTATTTGTTAAAACTCTGATATTTAACCATTTTTAGACAAATTCGAGATTTACTCTCTCTTGTGCAAAGACCAAAATCTGAACTTTATCATTTATTCTTTAACTTTATTCTCACAACATTAAGACTCTTTTTTTCCTTTTTATAACCTCGCCTTAGAAGAACAAATAAGCTTAAATTTATTATCAAACTGAGTTGTTTATAAAAGTGTTGAGCACGATTAAACTTTCCTGAACTTAAATTTCGTACCTGCAGCTTTATCAGGTTGAATATTTTTACCTCTCTTCACCGTCTCGATCAGAAAACATCCTCTTGAGTTTCGATAAAACCTGCAGATTCTCTCTGAATACAACCTCCTCCCAAACTAAACTGTCCATTAACATTTCACCTCATGTTTCGGTCGTTTAGAGCAAATATTATCCATTGTGCCGAGGACTCCGCTCATCCATCATACTCTGAAAAACATATTAGCTTATGTTTTTGACTTGTGCCCCAGTATGAATTATTCAATGAGCTATTCATTACGGTGACAGGACCTGCACACAAAGGACGAGTCCCGTCGCAGACTCAACCTCTCTGCCTTCCTCTGAGGAGTTTGGAAAGCTCTCAGAATAATTACATTGTGGTTTTCGAGAGTCCTGGTTCTCCATCTACCCCCTTTTGTTTTTAGAACAACCAGAACCGATATGATTGGTTCAGACGCAGGTCGATCAGAACCGCAAAGGACAGACTGAATCAGCTCAAATATCGGAAATTTCACTTTTTGATTTAAAACTATTCATGCAGTTGTTTGGTTCTACACCAGGCATTTGGACATTAACTCATTCAGTGCCAGGTTCATTTAGGTAATTTTCACCCAGTGCCAGCATTGACCACAATAGAATTTCCTGTATCTTTAAAAACCCTCAGAATATCTTGTGTTTGGACTAGAATTAAGTGCAATATCTCAAAAGAAAGAGGAGATTCTTTTCTTTCACCAGAGAAAAAAGTTAGTTTCTAACCCACTCCTGTGTTTACTTATCACCTGCTCATTGCAGCGTGGTCATATCATCTTTGCCGATCTGGAAAAAGAAACCTGAGAAAAACACATTCTTATGAAGGAGAGACTTTCAAGCAGAACTCTGATCGTCTATTTCATTTTACTTTAAACTACTTTACCGGTGGCATCAAGGTCCTCCCTCCTCGAACACCACTCCTCATCACTCTCGCAATCCGATTGTGATAGGTCACTTTTTGACGGCTGGGGGCCTCGAGAACCTGGCGCCGCGATGTAAACTGCACGGATTGCTTGAGTCCTCCTTGCCGGGACTGTCGCTGAATTCCAGCTCAGTCTCGCTCACTAGTACCGGCACCAGAAAATTATTTCTTTGATTGTCTGATGATGATGTGAAGGTCCGGTACCGGGATCTCCACTGGATCCAGAGACGATAGCACTGCGCCCACGGGAGCCGATGCGCAGAGACCGTTAGCTCTTGGCTAATGACTTCGGCATTCCCCGACTCTCCTTATAGAGAAAAAACACTCCACAACATGGCTGATTGGCATCACACTTGATGGCACACTTCACACTGGTGAGTACTTGTGTTTGTTCTTGTAACATGGCTATTACATATTTGTCGGCTTTTCTGCACTCAGAACGACTCCAAACTTAGTCCCATGTTGGGGAGAAGCGCCCTCTGGCGGAAAACAGAAAACAGAAAAATCCATTAAAATCTGTCATTGGCGCTGAATGAGTTAAAGGAATATTCCATGTAAAATTAATTCAGGGTCAAACGTAGTGTAACACCGAGTTAGACCCCCCTCCAGAGATGAATGTTGTCGACCGCTTGCTTCTCTACTTATACCAACTTTAGTAACGACCGCAGGATAGGAATACAGAGAGGTCTGAGGAGCCATTAACAAACCTCAACCAAAACGCCACTCTATAGCCACAAATAATGCTCAGAACAGCACCTAACTTCATCAACAGGACATATAGGGTCACAGACATAGTACTAGACACCAAACATCTTTTTAACTTTGACTCATTTCTTTAGCAAAGAGACTAAACACAACTCACCCACTCTCTTCCAGCAGCCGCTCGTTTGTAGAGAGACCTCAGGCCAGTCCATTACAGACTACAGCGGGGTGACGCAGCTCAAGGAAGAACATTTGTTCTCATGTAACTAAAGTTGGTATAACTGGAGAAGCAAGCGGTCGACAACATTCATCTCTGGAGGGGGTGTCTAACTCGGAGTGACGGTGTGTTTGACCCTAAATTAATTTTACGCCGGAATATCCCTTTAAGATCAGTTAAATGTTAGTAAAGTGAAGCTCCACAGTTGGCTGTGTGGTGGTCAGACTAAAGTAACGCTGCTAAAAACTCCGGTGAAGGGTAGAGCTCCTGACGTAGATGGATGGCAGACCTTATTTAGAACCGGGTGCTTTTTAAAAACTGGCCCTTGTGTACTTACACGGCTGCCATAATCACAACAGGCCATTAATCTCCGTCCTTTTTCTCAGAGCCAAAGTCGAGCAGCAGACAGATACACAGCACTGCAGGCGTTTCTCAGCATCTCCGTGCTCAGCAGAAGTGTTGGGCAACACTAAAATGAAGGATTATAATTTCAGTAATAATCACAGTTAACCTCATTAGAGCTCTGTTACCCTCACAATCTGCTGAGTCAGAGAACTTCGCAGAAAACTGTAGCCTTTAAGAATTCTCTCTCTTCCCCTGAACTTTCCAAAACCCAGCAACACGGGTTCAGCTGTTAATGAAATGTTAGACCTTGAGGCACCAATGCTGTGACGCAGTCTTAAAGGAAAGCATCTTAAAAAAACAATAATTACTAACATCAGTACTCACAACCAGCCAGCAGGTGGCAGCAAAGGGGTTTATCTCTTTAATTAAAACATGATAAGCAAGGCATGCAGTGTTGGTGTAAATCCTGTTAACATGACGGGGGAAAGGAGGGAGGAGCTGAAAATAATATTTAAGGGTAGCGCTTTAGCTAACATCATCTTCAATTGGAGGATATTTTGCAGGAGAAACTGAAATATTGTTATTTGGTTGGAGATTCCTTTGCAGGACAAGCTAAAAATTGCACCGTTTGGGAGACCATATTTGCAGGAGAAGCTGAGAGTCTAAAGAGCTTAGATCTGATCAGCTGAAATTCAAGATTTAACAGGATAGCAACAATTTAGACCACAAAGACAAGGAGCTGGCTAACGAAGAGGGCTGGACTTCTGGTGTTTTGTGATGCTAATATGCCCCCTGACTTCTTTTTCAAACTCTAAGATCAGTGCTACCATGGATCAGTTGTTAATTAAATATGTATACTTTGCTGTTATGTTGTGTAGATCAGGTACCATCTCACTGTTTCTGCTCAAATACTCATTTTGTACTTTTTCTGCATTGCTACATAGAACTAACACCTCCTAGATGTGCATAAAAGCCTTAAAATTCGAGTTTGCTGCACAAATATACAATGTACAGACAGTAATTGTCTTTTTCTGCAAACGTCAAACCTGTCCGAACTCCACAAACAGGAATTATATCCTGTCATTGGATTAGCAGTGACACAGAATTCAGATTACATAGAGAGCAGAAATCCAGACAAAGACAGCGTCAATACTAAACAGTGTTAAAGATTTTGCTCCATATTGAAATGCTTCTTTGACCTTCTAGAATCTGCAGAGTGCACTTACTGCCATTGTGAGTCTATATTCAATAAAGTTTCTTATGAAATTTCGTTTTATGGCTTCATTTTCAGATGTTTGTGTTGTATTTGCTTTATAACTAGTGTGAACTTGAGCCTACAGTGATATTGGTAGGTTATTGACATGTTGAAATATTGCTAGGTTGATCATTTATCAACTTTCAGGACAGAGTTTGACTTTGAGCTCTGCTGTGTTCGTAGACGATAGGCTAAAGGACACTAACTAAACCCTCAAGACAAACAGACGAGGTGATTTCAGTGACTCAGTTTGATGATTTTTATTGTTTTCACCCACAATCAAAGACTTGACCACAATCTGAGCTGAGTCAGAAACATCCAAACAGTCGGACTAATAAATGTGATTATTATTATTAGAGTGATTTAAAAGCTCATAACAACATGTAGATCTGTCCAAAGTCTGATTCTAGATGTCTTTACAAACACACTGATCCAACAGAAGCAGACAGAAATATCCATCGATCACATGAACACAAATATTCAGCAAACAGAGAAAGAAACAGATCATCTGAAGAGTTTTTGGGGACGACTGGAAAGACTTTAGACGCTTGGATTTGGGACAGGAAATAAGGTCGTCCTTTTTCTGTGATTTTGACCTCACTTTTTTCTAAAGTCTCAGACCTTCAACATCTGCACCAACTGAAGGTGATTTGAACAAACCATCATCTTGATGTTGTTGATATCAAACTTGATGAAGATTTTTCAACATGAGAAATACAAACAATCAAAGTTCTCCACAATCACTGTCCTTAAAGCTGCGACCAAATCAGCATCTTTAGAAAAGAATCAAAAAGCTGAAATGAAGAACTAAACCCAGAGTTTTTGGTGAGACTGATCCACAAACATTTACAAACCAGAACATTTCAAGAGTTCAAGGATCTCAGTCCATGATTTTGCTCTGATGGACTCAAAATTCTCTTTATTTCACTTCTATAAACTCAGCAGAGCCTAAAGTTGCGAGTCCAGCATGTAGCGGTTCAGTGAATGTGGTCTGGACTCTGTGGAGGAGAGTCATGGTTTCAGAGACGCTGTAGAAGGACAGAATACCTGCTCTGTGATCCAGGTACACTCCTACTCTGGAGGACTGAGGACCTGAGACACCAGTGCAGACTTTGTTGTGACCAAATTGATAACTGTCTTTAGAACAGAATAACCTCCAAGATTTGTCATTGTATCCAAATCTACAATCCTGGGAGTCTCCTGCTCTGCTGATAGTCTTGTATGCAACTGTTACAAAAACCCCGTACCCTCTCCAGTCCACCTCCCAGTAACAATGTCCAGTCAGACTCTCTCTACTCAGGACCTGAAGACAATCAGTGAATCTGTCTGGATGATCAGGATAAGACTGTGGTTGTCTTGTTCTTGTTGCTCTTCTGTTTCCATCAGATAATAACAGATATCTGTGTGCTGTGTTTAGATCCAGTGTGATTCTTTGTGAGTATCTTAAGAAACCAGCTCTGTTCTTGGGTTCTGCTGGTTCTGGTCCTGGTTCTAACAGTAAAACATCCACATCAGTCACTGCCTGTGAGACGTTTGTCCACGTCTCTGTCAGAAGATCCTGGAGTTTCTCTCTGAGCTCTGACACAGCTGCTGTCACCTCCTCAAAGTATCTCAGAGGACGGATGTTGATCCTGGATGAGTCTGCAGGTTGACCCGGTTCTGACAGTGAGGGGTAGCTGTGCAGAAACTGGTTGTGGTCCTCTGTGAGTGAGAGCTTCTGCAGATCAGCGTCTTTCCTCTTCAGCTCAGTGATCTCCTGCTCCAGTTTCTCCTGAAGCTCTTTGACTCGACTCACTTCACGTTCCTGCTGGGATCTGACCTGCTGCTCCACCTCAGAGCGGCGTTTCTCCATCAGACGGATCAGCTGGGTGAAGATCTCCTGGCTGTGGTCCACAGCTTCATCAGCAGAGCCGTTGATAGCCTCCACCTCCTGTTGGAGCAGCTTCACATCTTCTTCTCTGTCCTGGATTCTCTGCTGGATGTTTTCTCGACTCTCCTCCAGATCTTTCTGCCTCTCAGTCCTTTCTGCTGCAGCTGAGACTGTGTCGTGACCTTTGTGTTGGTCCAAACAGCAGAGATGACAGATGGACTTCTGATCAGTGCGGCAGAAGATCTTCATCACCTCATCATGACGAGAGCAGATGTTCTCCTGGAGCTTCTTGGAGGGCTCCACCAGCTTGTGTTTCTTAAATGAAGGTGATTCAAAATGAGGCTGGAGGTGAATCTGACAGTAAGAAACCAGACATTGAAGACAGGACTTGACAGCTTTCAGTTTTCTCTCACTGCAGAAATCACAGGCCACATCTTCAGGTCCAGCCTCAGAGGAACCATCAGGAGCAGCTTGGAGTCCACTCTTCTTCACTTCCTCCACTAAACCTGCTAACATGGTGTTTTTCTTCAGGACAGGCCTCGGTCTGAAAGTCTCTCTGCACTGAGGACAGCTGTAGATCTTCTTCTCATCCTCAGTATCCCAGTGGGATTGAATACAGCTCATGCAGAAGCTGTGTCCACAGGAAAGAGTCACTGGATCCTTCAGAAGATCCAAACAGATGGAACAAGAGAGAGACTCACGGTCCAGATGAACTCCTTTCTGCGCCATTTCAACACTCGCTGTCGACGACGACTGACTGAGTTTTATTTCCCGGTCTGAGCTCTGATCTAAAGTCCGCTCATTATATGTTGGTTACACCCATCTTCAGACTTTGGACCTGATCAGATCTGGGAGAGGTTATCAAGATTTTTTATAAACGGCGTTGTGAACTTTAGACTGTCAAACTCCAACAAGTAGAGGTTATTAAAGCTACAGCTGTCCTGAAGATCAGCTGAACCAACATTTATTCACCTCACTTGATGGATCACTGAAACACTTCCGGCTCATGTGTCAGCTCATCTGCAGAAAGCTGTAGCCCACTTCAAAAACACGGAAATATCCCTTTAATAACCAACGCAGAGAGGTTTAAATTGGGGTTATACTTTTTCTACCTGTTAGCAGAAAAGCAGCAGCAGTTTGCAGCAGCTGATCTGAGTCCAAATACGGAGGGTTCATTTTAACAACCGTGGAGAAAGGCAGAGCAAAGTGTCATCAATTCAATATTTTCTGTATTCACAACAAACTCGACTCGCCTTGTTATTAAATGACAAGGACAGCGTGTCACAGACATCAGTTCACTCCCCCGCAGGCAGGCGTGTGGTCTCTGGATCTAAAGTTTAGAGCTGTGCCTGGGAGTTCAGTTCGGATAATCAAATCCCTTTTGTTTATTCATTTTCCAAATATAATTTCCTGCTAAAAGAGGCATATATCTATGAAATATGCATGATCCCTCTGAAAGGAGACAGAGGAGGGCAGAGGAATAAAACAAACAAAAACACAGCCGATACAACCCTCCTTATTCTGCCGGTAACCTTGGAAACCAAAAACAGAACCAAGGCTGTTACTGGAGTGAGTGATCTAATTTTATCGGAGACTTTTTCAGCTTTCCTTTTTTTCCTTTTTGAGATGCAAATACTAAAGATTTTTTCTTTTTACGTTACTTAGCAGATGTGTTCATCCAGCATCCTTTATTTTTCAATTAGATCAGATGCAAACTGAGCTGATAGGAGGAGTCTATGTTAATGTTGGGCGGTATGAACAAAATCTTCTATCATGGTATGAGTAAATTGATATCACGGTGACGGTATGTATCACGGTATGTTTTTTTTCCTCCTGTAAATTCAATTAATGTCTTAAAAATAACTGAACTGTCGCATTTGTTCATTTTCCTCTGACTTTTATACAAATTCAAACAAAATGTCGGACCAGTCTGCGAAATTTTTTATCATATGGCGTACCTTTGGCAACTCTGCCAAGCTCTGTTGTAAGAGAGGAGCTGCTCCAGTTTTAGTTTTTGGTGCAGCAGGTGCGTCACTCATCTTTAGGCTCTCATAATAGAGTTCAGTGTGTTTCATCTTTAGGTGGTGGAAGAGGTTGTTGGCGCTTCCTCCTCCAGCAACGACAGACGCACAACACTCTTGCATATTTTTGTTTTTGATCATTGTCGGATTTTCTAAATCCAAGGATTCTTCAGACAACCAATGTCGCGACTCGTGTCCTCGTGTCAGGTGGATCAGGCTGCCTCCGCTTGCTTGGTACTCCACTAATATCCGCGTCCGCCATGACCACCACCAGTGAAGCTGTTTCTTCTTCGTCAAAAATGAGGCATAGCGGTAGTTCAGGCAGGTCACGGAGTCAAGCTAAAGGCTACAGTCAGCTGACAGCTCAGGTGATCGCCCTCTACACATCCTATTGGCTAATGTCAAAATGGCGCTCTATTTAAACTGCTTCTCCTGCCTACTCTGCCTGCTGCAACCACTCTGCAACCCACCTCCACCCCAGCTCCTCCTGTTCATGTTGTGTCTGATCTTACCAGTGTCATATGTAATGTCACTGATGCTTGCTCTGTTCTGTGGGGGGATTTTAATTTATTTATCTTAATCGTATTTATTTGCTGCTGCTCTCTCTGCCTTGGTTTTTCATGTACGCACATGAAAGGGAGGGGAGGAGCTCTCCACTCTTAAAGCCGTGGTGTTCCATGCAAGCACATGGAAGGGCAGGGAACCCTCAGAACAGAGCCGTGCCGCCAATGTAAAAAATGCTTGCTTGTAATAAATAATTAATTTTGACTAAAGTGATCCTGACTGAACTATGCCAAGCAGTCTGCTGGACACGCTGGTGATTATAGGGAGCGCACCCAAACCTGACCAATCAAACGGAGTGAACAAACTCTGCACGACACGCTGGTGAATATACAGAAACGCACCCAAATGGATGTGCTCCGGCTTTTCTATTAGGGAGCGCAGACAACTACACATACCGGTAGACACTTTTATACTGTCACATGGTATACACCGTTATACCGCCCAACACTAGTCTATGTGCTTACCTGAAGATAAATGCTGTGGCGCAAGTGTTTATCTATTTAGTTTGCAAAGCTGTTGCAGAGTTTTCGTGCTGAAACCATTGAGATACTTTCATATGATTCAGACACCTTCAAAGCATTGGGAATAAAGAAATAAAGAGTAGAGCGGTAAATATTGATGCAGCACACAACCTGACTCACGAGGTGCAGAAGGAAAAGTCTGAAATAAAACACAGAGGATGCTATTTTCTGCAGAGTTTGGGGGATATCACCGGCTTCTGAAAAGCTGACACTGACCCATATAGCTTGATGCACAGCTGGGAGCTAAACTGCATTGTTGGCTTAACTTTGTATGAAGAAGAAGAAGAAGAAGCAGCTGCTGGAGTATTAAAAGTTGGAGGAGCAGGAAAGAGATAAAAGGGGCAAATATAGAGTCAGAAATAAAAGATGCTGAAATTAGAGGAGCGGAGTTGAGCAGAAGGGATTAAAGAGGAGGAGTTGAGCTGTCATGGTAAGAATAAAACCTGAAATCTTAAGTTATTATCTGTGGTAGTTTAAGTGCTGCACTAGAGGGATTACAGATTTAAATTTAGGTGTCATGTTCCTGCTGTAACACCGGCTGTTTTTATAACTTTTTAAAGAAATCCCACCTACTCTGGAGCCTTTTGTACATGTTTCCGTGTGGTTTAGAGAATCTCTCAAACCTAACAGACCTTTATAAGCTCCTGTTAACGATAGAAAGGATTTTATTTTTAAACCAAAGCCTTCTCCAGATATCCTATCCTATAGAATAGTGGACACAAGAAGGTCTGGTCTGGCTGCTCCAAATTCAGCCGGGTCAACCTTTAACAGCAGGTCCATCGTTCAGAAGAATAAAAGGAGAGACATCTAGGTGTTAACCATCCCGTCATTCAGTGAGGGAAGAAAACGATAGAGCGAGTGTGTCAGTCTGTCAGGTGGACGGACGGTCCGACCGGCCCAAGAGGAAGAAAATTACCATCCACATTATCCCTCCAGACTCCTCCGAGAGACGGACGGGGGAAAAAGAGAAAAAGAGAGGAATAAATTGAAATAGATAAAGGAATTAAAAATGAGGGAAGTGAAGGGGAATAAGTGAGACGGCAGCGCTAAGTGCAGAGGTGGTAAGTTTCATTAGCAGTTATTAAAAGAGCCACATATTATCCAGGTCAGGGCAGCAGGGAGCTCTGCACAGATAGGCAGAGAGAGGGAGAGTCCTGTGGGCCCTTTTAAATTTAAATGGGCTGCTCACAGGTGGCAGCAGACAAAGAGGAGGAGAAATCAGAGGGCATGTCAGGTCCTGATAGCTAAAGTCAGGAAAGGATGGAGGAGACTGAAGGCTGAGGTCAGGAGAGAGAGAGAGGATGACTGACAGCTGCTGATGCTGTTTGTTTGGAGAGAGGGAGGCCGGCGGGAAAACCTGATGCGTACCGGAACCACAGGTCGTTTCCGAGAGTTTGATAAGCTGTTGTTACAGTGGTGGTGTGATAATTGGCCCAGAAGGAGTTTGAAGTTTGACGCTGAAATGGGAACAGTCTGATTGAACTTGTTTTAAACTTTGGGAAGTGTGGCATGGAGCTGTCATTACGTTTAACACCTCAACCCGATACTGGAGGACACGGGGGTGATACCAGGCTAAAGAAGTTGTGCTCATTTTAAACCAAACAAAGATGACGCTTTTTGAGTCTGTAGAAAACTCTGTTACATAAAATGATCATTGAGACGAGTAAAGATGAAAACATACAGGATCAGTATTGAGCGTGTTGTTCCGTATTTGCTCCGTAGAGCAGTGTTGGGTATCGCATACAGGATCAGCATATTTGGAGCGTAGCAGCAGTGCAGTGCAGCCCTGGTCTGCTGGTCTCAGTATAGAGGAAACAACATGCTCACAGCAGTTTGTTTTTCCTTTCTGTGGTCAATTTCCTGATAATTTGGATATAATTCAGTGACTGTTGAGCCTCTACTGTCTGTGAAAAAGTGATTTTCCAGTTTGTGTTTTTGCAGGTTTCCTGGTGTTTAATAAAGTAAACTCTGTTCCTTTATGCTGTTTCCTTCAGACAGAGTTAGCAGGTCAAAGTCCTGTTGGGTCCACATGGATCAGGGATTGACATTCGGATTGTTCTGTGTTACTGATAAATCCAGAACCAGGGAGGATTTCTCATCTACACCAACTGATACACAGTCGGGAGTTCACATATGGTGTTTTATTTTGAAATACCAGATGACATGCGCAGTTTTTGTGCTTGACTTCCTGCCTGGAACGCTCTTCTCTGTGTGGTTTGATGCACATTGGAAACGTAGAGCAACAGAAATAGAATCGCTGCGTATCTTTAGCAGAGCCGCTCTGGATACGATGCTGCGACAGAGCTGATACGCGTTCTGTATGTTTTACTGTATTGTTCAGAATGGAAACCTATTTGTCACGAACGGATCTGATAGGAATTTGCGTACGGCGAAAATTGCAGCCATTCCGGATCGGAGCTGGAACGGATGCGGTGGAAACCCCGTGTTAGCAATGTGAATACCTAATAAAGCAGGAAACGACATCAGACGCTCAGGAAGCTTTAACTGACATGTTGGTTAGAAGGAACTTTACTGCAGGTTTGTGTCGGTTAGAGAAATGCTTTGACTCTTGCAGTTTAACCCACATGTGTAAAACACATAAACGAATCTTTTTTTGCTGCAGTCATAGATTTTGACCCAGTGAGGTTTGGAGAAAAAAAGAAATCACCCTTTGGCTCCGTGTGCCTTGGCTCTCTGACAACCCTGCTGCTGTCCAAGATGCTGGAGTCTGCAGCCATCTGCTCGGGCAGCAAAGTGACCTGAACCCAGTGGATATTGGATCAGAACCAACACAGTCCACAGAAACAAGTGATGGGCTCTTAGAGACGGAGCAGAAATTAAAAAAGGGGAATGGCAGAGATTCAGTGACTGATAAATCTTCCCACTTTCAATTCACACACCGAAACTGTCGGATAAATCTGCACTCTTCACGATCTTCGGGGTTAAAAGCTTTTAGATTGGCAACAACTCTGAGATGGGAAAGTCACCGGAAATCCTTCCTGTCCCTGAACCCGAGTTTGACAGAAACAAATCCGTCTCGCCTCATGTGTAAAGAGTAACGGTGTTTAAGGGCCGTCAAATGATTAACTTCAAAATATCGATTAATCGTGTTTAATCGCGATTAATCGATCATCATTACAGCTTTTTAATTAGACCCCTCTTGTGCTCCTCATCCTTCAGTTTTAGACAGACAGACAAGCCTATCAGCTGCACGATGGCTCCCTCGTGGAGTGTTGCATCATGGGTTGTCATGTCAAATACTGCTGGGCCTGCAGGTTTGTGTGTTTATCGTCTTCTACAGTTAGTAGACCTTAAAATTGTTCAGTTGGCCCAGTTTAACCTGCAGGACTCTCTGACAGCTCCGAACACGCTGTGCTGCCAGAGAGAAAATAAATTCCTCCAGTGTAAAAGGGGTCAAGTGTCTCCCGACAAGATACAGAAGAAAAGAAACAGAGGGAGAAACATCTGTCAGGCAGCCAAGAATCAGAGCCTGTCATGAAGATGACAGAAAATATCACTCTGAGAGCTTCAGAGAGCCTGACAGCAGCGAGAATATGAAGCATGACAAGCTGCACACTAATGTCGGAGTATATTTTTCCCTCTATAGTAAGATGGTGGCTGCTGCTAGGGAAAGTTTTCAAAGTCAGGACTGGATAATAAATGTGAAGTGGCATCAGTAGATTTCGGTTGGTACAGTTATTATTTTTATGCTCTGAATAAAGTCTTGGTTTGAGTCGATCCTCTCTGCCTCCGTACGTCTGTCTCTTTTTTGTTAATGAACGTTTCCTGATGCGTGTTATTAACAAAGACGCAACCAGGACGACGCCAGTTTAATATTTGAAATTCTTCCTTTCTTGCCCAAAATCTGAGGCCTTAAAACACCCAAAAACTCATTTTTTTTCCACACTTATCAGCCCTGACAAAACAAAAGTTCATCAGTTTTCAGAAACAATTCTGAGTAACTGCTCCACAGCACCATCTTCATTTTAATCCTCCCCACCCGGTTCAACCATAAACTGTATATACTATGGACAACTTGGCTCCGCCTCCCGTCATTATACAAATTTGAAGCCGAATTTCTCTCCATATTTCTGTGATTTTCTCCACTTTCTGGATCCACCACTTGCACAGTAGCGTTGTACACATTCAGCAGGAGAGTCGGTGTGATGACGCTCGGCTCAAACAGTGTTTCCCCCGGGTGAGCTACGCAATCTTCGTACGCCCATAGGCTGTATCAAGTGTCAATCAAAGAAAACAAGAACCCCCTAATAACTTTTAAAAATGGATCTTGAGGAGGCGGGATTTATGACCTATACTGCAGCCCGTCAGCAGAGGGTGCTGTTCTTGCAGTGGCTTCACCCAGCAACGAGAAAAGCGTCGTACAATCTATTTACAGTCTAAGGAACGGAAAGAAGCCGATGAAAAATTGACACGTTAACTTGAATGGTTTCGATCAGCTACGATCGGAGGATACAGCCTTTTCGTAGACGTTCTGGATGCGGTAGAAATTGGGGGTAAGGCCTTCAAAAGAAATCCCTCGCAGTCATACTGCGGACTCTAAACCCAACAGGAAGTCCACCGTCGACGTCAAAGTGTGCGGCATCATCAAACTTAGGCATCTCACCACGAAACAGAAAGTTTTTTAAATGTTTAATCAGTTTGATGTGTTTAGGGGCGGGGCTTGATCATGTACATAAAATATCAAAGTGCCCTTTTTATTACTACGGTCACAGCGCCACCCTGTGGAAATACAGGGTATTTTCGATCACATACTTTGTCCAATCAGCTTCAGATTTCACAAGTTTCATTCTGGTACCAGCCTGGACTCATTTACATCTACACTTTTAGAATAGTTATAGTGCCACCTACTGGACAAGAGGAGTATTACCTCAGATACGCTTCAAACCTCCATTTGTTGATATTGTCATAAAAATTAAAACTCTTTCTCATGAAATTAAATACCATCTTTTTTTCTGTAAATTTCAACTTCTTTTTCAGTTTTATTCTGGATGTGCATCAAAAATACAATTTTTAAAAACATGTAAATGAAGCTGCAAACCTTTGCATCTCAAACTCTTTGCAGGATTACCTCAAAATAAAGGATTAAAACTTCATAGTGTGACTCAGAGAAAAGGTCAAGAGGTCACTGAAAACTGGAAATCTATGGGTGGGAACCCTGAGCGCGGCTTACCGGTAACTTTTACTCAAAATGTGAAATGTCTGTGTCCTCAAAACTGCTAATTTACCCCCTTTAAATCCTGCCTCGCTCACCATGTGTGTATACTCCAGAGTTTCGGATGAAAGCGGCGAAGATAAGAAAAGAGAGGAAGAGGAAAATGAGGATAAAGCTTTAATGACACAAAGGATAAGGCAGGAACTCTCTCTCAGTGAAGGATTTTTCTCACAGCAGCCGAGAACAAACAGCAGTGGGAATTTAACTCCCAGAAAAGCTGTCGTAATCACTCAACACTAATAACCAGGAAATGAAAGTGGACACCACATTAACCCGGCGCTCAGTGGAACGCTCAGTTGCTCTCTGTCAAATTACCACATTAGTCCTAATGCTCGGCTCGGACTCAGACCTCAGACTGTTCAGCTACAGGGGGCAGAGTCAGTATCATGGTCACCTGTGTGGTCTGATCCAACACCTGAGCTCACCTGTTGGTGGATTTGTTGAGGTTTCAGTCTGAAAGGTGATGATTTAGCTCCACTCTGCAGCGTGTTGGAGGGCCATGAATTGCCTCAGTCCGGACCCTCCCTTGGGACCAATTAGTCTGGGGTCCCTACCAGGAGGTTAGGCCCCTCACAAGGACGCACCAACCCCTCCATCATAAGAAGGTGGAGACTCCTGGGAGTAGGACCACTGCTCTCTTCACACTGAAGGAGTCCGCTGAGGTGGTTTGGGTCAATGATAAGGACGACTCCTGGGCGCCTCCCTGTGGAGGTGTTCTTGGGGCAGCTGGTGAGGAGGAGGCCCACAGTTGGCGTTTGACCCAGGATCCCACAGGAGGAACAGGACAGGATATTTCTGGAAAGAGGGAGGTCTGGTTCAGCGAGCTGAGACCGTGTGACCCGAGACAATAAAAGGATGGATAGAAGTCAGATGAACAGATGATTGACCTGCAGACAGAGAGGCTCTCAGTTGGACCAAGTCTGAATACTTTAACTTTTTTTCTCTCCTGCCTTATTTTAGTCTCACTCCAAATCAAATATTTACCTTTTTGACTGACTGAGCTTCTTATTGTTACCAACTGTCACACTCTGCTCACTGAACCACCAGAAACTTCATTTATTTTTTCATTCTGTAGATGAAGCCGAGTCGTACTCATTAGCGAGTCTTTAGGTTTTTTATTATCCCCAAAAAAACTGAACAGAAAAAAGAAAAACAAGTATCTTCAGATTCATTTTGGGTCAAATAGGTGTTGGTTACTCACGCTGGGTTTCTAAAGAGAATAAACACAACTCACCTACTCCCTTCCTTCAGCCGCTTGTTTGTAGCCAGACCTCAGGCCAGTCCATTACAGACTACAGCGGGGTGCCGCAGCTCAAGGAAGAACATTTATGTTCATTTCTTTATGGAAATACAATCAGACCGAGACGCTAAGACAGAAGAACTACCACGTCTGCAAAATGATTAATATCGTGATTATTACTTCAAGGAAATGATAAAGAAATGATCATAAATGTTCTTGGCGTGGCGTTTTGGTTGAGGTTTGTTTATGGCTCCTCAGACCGCTGTGTATTGCTATCGTTACTGAAGTTGGTCGTTACTAAAGTTGGTATAACTAGAGACACAAGCTGTCGGCAACATTCATCTCTTGAGGGGGGGTCTAACTTAGTGCTAGGGTGTTTGACCTTAAATTAATTTTACACCAGAATATCCCTTTAAAAGGAGTCAAAACCTCCTCGATCTCCCAAACTTTGTTTCGCGTTGATCGGAGCTTCTGACGATGATGTAAAAGTGAGAGGCGTAACTTTCAGGTCGTTTCACATCCACAGAGCTGTGTACAAAGTAACACCCATGAGTCTTGTCTAACTTTCTGTCACCCAGAGGCTGAAATGAGGATTTTCTGAGCTGCAAATCCTGCATCTATGTGTGCCAGCCTGACATGAGGAAAGTAAGAAATGACTCTCCTTTGACTTAGAAATGAAAGTGATTAATGTCAGAGGAGTGACGCTGAGAAAAATGAGACTTTCTCATGCTGAAGGATGAACTTATTCAACCTTATTGTTTATCTGAATCTGGTCCAGACAGAGAGCGGAGAGAATATGAAGTGAGCCGGGTTCAAAGTTTGAGGAAATCATTCCCAGACAAACTCTGGTGTAACCTTCGAGTGACTTTTTCTGTCTGTCTGTCTGTGTGTCTGGTCAGGATTTAGATTTGACTCTTTATAGCTAATCACTACCCTGACAGACATGTCAGACCCCAGATAAAACTCTGTCTTCTTAACAATGGGATTAACACAGTGGGATCATCGATTTTTGGGGCTCTCTGAATGATTTCCAGTTGTTAAAACACTCAACCCTTCAGGCTTCACGTAGCAGCTGAAGGGATTTTCATGCCTGAGAGGAAGTTCACACTGTCGACTGAAGGTCACGATTCACTTTCAGTTTTATTTATGATCAAGTTTTGGAGGTTTGAAAGCTTAGATTTATTTTATAAATAAGGAGAACTAATGAGGTAAATCTCTGCAAAATAACGATTAATCAGCTCTTACTAAATTCAGACTTAATTGAATCTGTAAAAAGTCTGACTGAAGACATGATGATGTAAAATTGATCTGCTTTTCATGAACTAGGACCGGAGTTATGGGCTGCTTCAAATCCCCTCCACATTCAGAGGTTGCGGGGTTCATCCATAATTCATGCTCCAGGATGCTGAACAGATTGAATTGTCACAACTCAGGCTGGTTCAGACGAGGAGAGAGAGAAGGAGAGAGGGATGAGCCGCTCTCCAGTCTGTCTGTGGGGAGAAAGATGCTGGGACAGATTCAGGTCTTTGTGTCAGCAAATATTACAACAGCTTCAGCACTTAAGGGCTGGAGTGGTGCTGATCCTGACCTTTGACCTCCCTGTGGAGGGGCCCAATGATAGAAGAATCAGCTGTACCACCAAACAACCCTTCGAGACGCTCTTCTCTGTGTAGATATCCTCCAGTAGATCTTCATAAAGCACCTGTGGGCCTTGAATGTGAAGCTGCTTTGATTGTATTTTATTTCATGTATTTATCCAGTTTATTCCTGCTGAGTCAGCAGTCTTAGGACGCCGACCCTGACATCCCTGTCCTGGGAAATATTTCCCAGCACCTCCTGAGCGTACCTGCGCCAGGTGGGATATATAATCTGTCCAGCGAGCTCTGTGTCTACCCTCATGCCGAAAACATACAGGATCCGTATTCAGCGTATTTGCTCCGTAGAGCAGCGCTGTCTATCACATACAGGATCAGTGTATTTGGAGCGTAGCAGCAGCGTAGTGCAGCTTTAAGTGATTTTCCAGTTTGTGTTTTTGCAGGTTTCCTGGTGTTTAATAAAGTAAACTCTGTTCCTTTATGCTGTTCCCTTCAGACAGAGTTAGCAGGTCAAAGTCCTGTTGGGGTCCACATGGATGAGGGATTGACCGTCGGATTGTTCTGTGTCACTGATAAATCCAGAACCAGGAAGGATTTCTCATCTACACCAACTGATACACAGTCAGGAGTTTGAATATGGTGTTTTATTTTGAAATACCGGATGACATGCACGGTTTTCATGCTCAACTTCCTGTCTAGAACGATCTTCTCTGTGTGGATTGATGCACATTGGAAAAATCGATTCGCCGTGTATCTTTAGCAGAGCTGCTCTCGATACGATGCTGCGATGGAGCTGAGACGCGTCCTGTACGCTTTGCTGCGTTGATTAGAATGGCAGCCTATTTGCTGCGAGATACAAGACGCTGCTGCCACGCTCCAAATACACATCCTGTATGTTTTAGCTTTAAGGCCTCCTCCCACTGGTTGTCCTTGTTCAGGACGCCCCTAAAGGAGCAGCGTCTCTACTCTGAGCTCCCCCCTAATATCCAAGTTCCTGTTCCCATCTCTAAGGCTGAGCCGAGACACCCTTGGACCTCTTTAACGGACTTTTACAGTTTGATATCCTAACTCGAAGTCAGGAATCACTCTGTTTTAATATTTAGCTTGGGGATTTTGGGAGCAAGGTGGGTTAAGTGTCGCCCAAGGACACAACGGACAGACTAGGGATATGGCGGGTTTTGAGCTGCCAACCTTCCTGTTATTGACAAACCGCTCTACCTCCTGAGCTACTGCCGCCCCGCCTTCGTCTGCAGATGCTGGGATAGGCTCCAGCCCTCCTGCAACCCCGGGAACGGGAATAAGCGGTAGAAAATGGATGATATATTTTTTTTAATTTAATATAAAGTTGAAGAGGATTTGACACAGACTCACTTTCATTGGTTCGATTGTTTCGTCTCTTTACTATGAAATTTAATTGATCCCAGATTGATCCGACTTTGAAATATAGAGGACTAAACAATCTAACAGCTGTGTTACTGGATCGATTACTACGAGCCAACTGCAGCTGAACTGATGAGCACTTTTGTTGCTGGGTTGTGCTCCTGGACCACCACCAGAGACCACCTTTTCCAGTGGATCTTATTTAGCCAAAGAGAAGAACAGACCACGTTTACCAAAATCCCTCTGAACGAATCAAAATAGAATTTTAATAAAAACCTTTTCCTCTCTGATTATTCACAGAGTCGTGCTGTTTTAGAGCTCGTGAACATTCGTGATGATTGTGGAGCTCACACTGGCCTGTTTCCATTTTACTACTTATTGAAGAAAAGTGTCCGTAGAGGTCAGAGGTCATGTTTGGTGAAAAAAGCTCTCGTTCTGAGTGCCCTGAGATCTGAGATCGATTTATCTGGTGAAGAATAATAACAACAACGTCAGAGGCCAAGTCCATTATCATTCTACTGGAATAAGAAATTCAACAGGTCATGTTCCCCCCCTGAGGGCCTCCTTCACTCCGACATGTTCGTGTCTTTCCTCTTGCTGGTGAAGCCCCTCATGGCGTTTGTCTTATTTTGGATAAAAGGCTGTAAAGATTAAACCGACGTGATCGTATCAGGATGAATTCTGCAGAAACTCGGGGGGTAAAAGTAAAGTGTATGTTTTAGGGATGTGTTAATAAGCCTGTAGCTCAGAGGCATTATCAAACACACTGCTGCCATCGCCTTGCATTATCCATCTGCATATGTGTATGCACCATCTGTCTGCGCAGTTGCCCTTTCCAAATGCCACGAAAGGTCAGGAAGCAATGAGTCAAAGTGCCGCCGTGCCTGGCGAGCGCGCCGGATTTTACACACTTCTTATGCATCACTGGTGCGTTAGGCAGAAAACAGTAAACATAACACAGACATTGATCTGGAATTAATCATCAAGTCATTTGCTGTTTTCTTGTCACCGGTTTAATTTAAGAGGCCAGAGCTGAGCGGCTGCTGCACTCCTCGACATTTTAATGTACAGCACTTGGAGCCGCACAGAGGTCTGCGGGGCTCGAGCGCTACCAGACTGTTATTGATGGTCTCTGTTTGTTTTTTATATTTGAATCGATACACGGCTGCAGTTTGGCCATGAGTGATGAAGCCAGCGGTCAGGGCATTATCGCTTCTGTTGACGCACTGCAACTCAAAGTGAGGGCCCGGCCGACGGGAAACAGAGGAGCGTTTCCGTGTTAAAGTCCAATAAATGACTTCAAACTCTGAAAACGTGACTTATACTTACGCTGTGTTTTACATCCGCCTTACTTGGTTTACATTTCTCTTCATTTCGTCTCTTTAAGACGTTGACGCTCGAGACAAAAGCAGCTGCAGCCTCGATCAGAGGGATGGTTGTGATTGAATGAGTCTTAAAACACCGAGCTCGTCCAACTTCCATCCGTCTCCAGGATTCAAGAGGACTGTCTGAGTCTTATTATCAGAGGAGGGCGCACTCACAGTGGGGAATCCAGACTGCAGCTCTAAGTCATAAACGCCCACAGTTTCACTAAGAGAAAACAGTCTAACATGCATCCCACTGAGCATTTTCTGGTCTAATAGACGTCTAAATGTAGCTGAGACGACTGGTCTAAAATCAGGCTAACACAGGTCTAAAAATGAAAGTTTTTTTAGATATCTAAATTTAGACTAAATCTAAATCTGGGCTATAGCTATACAACACTGTGTATTGCTCAACAGCTAACATAATTATTTTGGTTAAATACTTGGAGATCAGTATAAACTCACAGCTGCTCATAGTTATTGAATAATGGGTTAAAGTGCAACGTCTAAATTCCGTCTAAAAGTATACAGAATGTAGACGGTTGAAATTAGGTCTAAAAAAAAATACAACTAGACGTCTAATGGCCGTCTATTGCTCAGCGGGATGCTGTTTGGCTGTCAAAAAAGAAAACTTTATTTAAAAGAATAAGACGGTGACTCATGTACGTGTGAACAAAGGGGAATTAAACAGAGAATAATGTGTGAAAAATTTATTCCACACCGTCTTAAGGTCATTACACACCAGGGCGAATTTGCGAAGCGAATAATTCCCTTTGAGTGTCCTTTCTGGACACCCAACGACACTTTGCAGAGTAAGAGCAGCAACAAAAAAAACAGCAAGATTTTTTCGGCCCTGTTGTGAATTTTGCGAACATTTGCAGGTGAACCGCCGCCCTGAAGCTTTCCTCCTCCTCCTTCCTGTTATCTATCAGTACATGACTGCAATGAGCACAATTGTTAATTCTTTATGCAGCTTCGTCACATAATCTCCAAATTTACGATATATCCTAACAGGATGTCGTCGCCATTGTTTCTCCTTCTCCTCTCTCCCCTTCTGTTCTCCTGTGGCGAATTCGCGCCACACACCATGTGCGAATTTTATTCACGTCACACCAGGTGTGTACAGGAAAAGGCATAAGCCAAATATTTCGCATTTTTGCGTCGCTTCGCTAATTAGCCGGTGTTTAATGACCTTCAGAGGAGGAACCGGGAGGACTCTGCAGACTTTACAAATGGATATAAACATCGATACAACATTGGAAACAAATGCTTTTCTCCGCCTCTCACAGGATATTTTAAGCATTATAAAATTTTGGCAAAGTCGTAAAAAGTATATTTATACGATCGTAATGGGACTTTAAATAAAAAACTGTTTTGTGTTGTTTTTGGCGCCACCTCTCCTCTCCTGTTCAAGTGAAAGTCGTATTTTCCTACAAAAGTCGTCCCCGTGTTTCACTTTAGCCCTCGATGAAAATCCTCACTATGAAGAGTAAACAAACAAAGGCTGTTTAAGGAGTTCAGCTTTAATCATCAACTAAAAACTCCGGAGAGCTTTCGTAAAAAGGTTCTGATTTATTTGATTCACTAAAACTAAAAGTAGAGATTTTAAAGAAAACCTCCGGAAGAATAATGATGTTGCAGGAGAAAAGGTCTATTTGTGTCAGTGTTCAGCCAAAATAAAGATGTTTTTGTGCCTAACTTCATGCAGAGTCTTACAAACACAAAATAAATCATATGAAAGTGCTTTTTCATGAAGAGTGGGTTTTAAAAATGATCTTTTTTTCCATCTTTTTCATGAATAACGTCCGTCCTGTTTTTCTCCTTTTGTCACAGGATGAAGCTTCAGAAAAAGCTTCACTTCCAGTTTCCTTTTTAACGGCAGAGTTTTTTAATCACCATAATTACACAAAGCATCACAAAAGTTGCAATAAAAACAGATTCCCAGATTATTGCTGGTTAAAAAGCTCTAAATTTGCCGCCGTGCTTCTTAAATGATCTGTATTTGATGATGTCTGGTTTATGCAGCACATTCTCGGCTGAATAAATCTTCATTATTCCGCTTTCCTTCCCTCACAAATGTGAACCGTTTTCAGTTTTCCAAATTAATTTTGACAGCTTTATCTCTGCCCTGACTGTCGGCTGTCTTTGCCTGGAGAAGATTTATACTTCATGGTTCCTCCGTCTGTCTGTCTGTCCGTCTCCCTCGGAGCAGATCTGTCTTCATCGTCGTCTAAATGACAGAAGGAAACGATGATTCCAGGAGCACCCGAGTTGGTTTCTCTCTGCAATCCTCATCCCATCGTTAATATTTCACTGTTTCATTTCTGGAGGTTCGTTTTCTACAGCTTTTGAGACACTCTCAGCATTGAGTTGGTGCTCAAGTGACCGTTTGACTAACCCCAAATATCCACCACTGTGAAATGGTAGCTGTTTTCACCGTCCGCCAATTCTACCAGATGCGTTTGTGAGGCGAATTTCCTGGCAAATTCTGGACAGCAGGAATCGCAACGACTCACAAGAACCTGTGAATTCACAAGCAATCTTGCGATAACGAGTGGTCTCTATAAAGACAGACACATAGATATATAAGCAGTAGATTGTGTCCTTCCAGAGGAGGAAATCTGCTCTGCCCAGACCAGTAGATCAGACACTTTTGTGGAGATTGGGAATAAGTGCAATATTTATCTTTATCTTGTTCGTCCTTGCCCACGTTTGCATGGTGTGAAATACAATCCGCCTGAAACACCTAGGGTTTTATTTTGAAAAGAAGCAGGATGTTTTATTTTGTGTCTGTGCCCGACTTCCTTTCCGGAAAAAATAGAACCCCGACAATCAGCTACACAGTTTGCTGAACCGCAGGAGGCCGGAAAGAAGCCGATGGAATTTGACACGTTACCTTAAATGGAAACGATCAGCGTCGATCGGCACATACGGCCTTTTCACCATCTGTTAATTTGGTTCTACTTTTGCCTCTCCATCATCTCAGAGCAGTCCGCTCTCCTCTGACCTCTGACATCAACATGGCGTTTCCATTTTCCACTTTTTCAGACGGAGATGGTTGCGCATGAAGATCCCGGAAGATCGGCAGTTTCTGAAACTCTGACAATTCCGTCTCAAAGCCTCTTCAGTCCACTTTTTCCCTCTTTCTGGTGCTCACTTCGTCTCGACCACGTCTACATGCCTAAATACTTTGAGTCGCTGCCATGCGATTGGCCGTCACCAAGATTAAAATGATGTCCCCCTGTTTTTGTTCGGACCCTGACATGGAGACAGCTCGTCAGACCTCCTCCTGTGAAGGTCTCCCACACACACACTGCCGTCCTGTTGGTCTGTTCGAGTTCCAGTGTCAAAAAACGAGACAGCGGTGGAAGTTTTCCATCCCCCCGATGTGACAGGCCGGATAATTGGCTTTCAGTCACATCGGCTCAGGTGTTTCTTCGGCTGTGTCACATCTGCTGGAGAGGACGTAGAAATGTTGAGAAAATCATACATGGAAGACAAGGTGACCAGATGGAGCGAAGTTTTTTAAGGTTATTTTTAACTCTAAAGTGGTGGTTAGCAGCGTGAGGGGAAAACAGTCATCTGCAAAAGAAAATTGCCTTTCACTCACTCTTGTTCGAATAAAATCTCTGCTTTTATCGTGACAGGAGGATGAGACTGCCAAGACTTCGACAGATGTCCAGAAACGAGAAGAGAAATGAATTAAAAATGAATAAAACTAAAACTGTGTGGGTCATGAAAAGTCTTTACCACGGTTCTTTTCTAACAACGAGATGGTAAACACGCCATCAGACACGAGTTCTTGTCGAACGGTCCGAATGACACAAATCTAGCGCTCATCGTACGTCATTCTCTGATCTGAACAGGGTAGGGCTCCCAAGAACGTACAGTTTTCTGCACTTTAGCTTCACTTCTCAAGACCAGAGGTTTCCACCTGATACTAAATAAAGTGATCAGATTATGTTGCATGACTTGCATCAAGAGTTGCATCAGAGGAGAAACTATTTTGACATGCAGAGAGTCGACTCACCGGCATAATGTGGTGAAAATGGTCGAAGAGCATGCAGCAAACCAACACTGCTGAACGCCTACAGATACTGCACATCCGCCCTCGAGACACACCAGAGATTTCACTTCTGCGTTTGTGCTGATAATCTTTTGTGTTTTGTGTTTACTTCGAGTCAGCGCCGAGAGGTTTTGAGTCGAGCACACCGGCTCTGAGTTTGACTGTATGAAGTCCAAAAATTCTCACATTCACTCCTGGATGTCGGTTTAGGTGAATTTGCATGAAGCAGCGAAACTTTTCACTGGAGTGAAAAACCACTGACAAGAATGTTTTGTTATCATTCTGTACAGTTTTTATCCTCGATTTCCATCGCCTCAAATTTTCCTGCTTCTCCTCATCCTTTATACTGTACGGTACGCCTGATGTTGACCACACACAGCGCACGCCATCAGCCATGTTTCCATCACACAGCTGGACAGGCAGCTGGCATCAGAGGCGATCTAAAGCTTTAATGCAGAAAGGTGAGTAAACGTTAAAACAGTCGGACTGAATCAGCAGACAAGACAGTATTTGACATAGACAGGAGTTTGGATTCGAGGGTTTTTACCGGACTTGTCAAACTGTCGGGACAAAGGGAAATAAGACCACGCCACGCAGACGCCATCAGTTAACACGTTTAGTGAGGATTGTAACTTCTTTCATTTAAGCGAAACGAGGACAACATAACTGACAACATAACTTTGCTGTATTTACAGCGCCGTGATGAGAATCAAATAATGCCAGATCATTGACGAGTCATTGCAGAGACAGAACACGGAAACCAGCTAAACCGGGTCAACCGTACGACAGAATAACAGCCGACTTGCAGTCATACATCATGCATACAACTATCGAACACAGTACTCAGTGTGAAGTATCTACTGCATACTGAGGTCTGCAGGAGTATGAAGAAGGCCAATTCAAAAACCTCCTTGGAGCCTTCGGGGTCTGAAGTCTGAAGTCTTCTCTGTGTGACATTTACAGATGATAACTCACACAGGAAGCTAAATCATATCAAATCCAAATCAGCCTCTCCTTAAAGCAGTTTGACATTTTCACTCCAGATACAGCTGCAATTAAAATTTCTCTCTCTCTGCGTCTCTGGCTGCAGGAAGAAGACACGCGTGAGTGTGAGTGAGTGAGTGAGTGAGTGAGTGAGTGAGTGAGTGAGTGAGTGAGTGAGTGAGTGAGTGAGTGAGTGAGTGAGTGAGTGAGTGAGTGAGTGAGTGAGTGAGTGAGTGAGTGAGTGAGTGAGTGAGTGAGTGAGTGAGTGAGTGAGTGAGTGAGTGAGTGAGTGAGTGAGTGAGTGAGTGAGTGAGTGAGTGAGTGAGTGAGTGAGTGAGTGAGTGAGTGAGTGAGTGAGTGAGTGAGTGAGTGAGTGAGTGAGTGAGTGAGTGAGTGAGTGAGTGCATGGATGGATGCAGCTTCAGGTAACAGAGACGTAGACTCCTCCATTTTCACAGTTTGGTTGTATTCCTTCAGGGCCCTCCTTTAAACTCACCATCATCCCCTCTCTAAATAAACTCCTCAGGAGCTCCAGACGTCTTCCCTAACCTCCTGTGGACACTTTCTCTTTCTTTTTAACGACTCTAATAATCTGCATGAAAAATGGCTCTAAAACACACAATTTCACCAAATGTTAATCTCGTAATCACTTCACCTGACAAAACACCGGCTTTGGATGGCTTTAACCAGCGGTGATTTATACACGGCTGAGGTAATATTGCTTTCCAGCAGCGTGGCCCATTTCCTTCAGTCCCATGGGGTGTCGTATAACGCTCAAGTTGTCGCATCGGGTCTGAGAGAGAGAGAGAGAGAGGAGCGAGGACGACTTTGAATACATCCACAGACCACTTTACATGATATTGCCTCTTACAGACATTTCCCTGATGATATAAACCTCCAAATTGCAAAGTGAGAAACCTGTTAATGTTTCTGCGCTCCATCATCCGCCACGTTTAAAGTCAATCAGTCAGCGCACAATCAGTATTCCCCCCCGCTCAGGAGTCATACATGGGTGAGGAGAGACACCGAGCTATTACGCTCCCTCAGTCTGCTGTCAAAGAGATCCATTAAAGAGTCTTTATTGGGCCTGGGACCATTACCAACAAAGAAGGTAATCCAATCGTCTTTAATATGTTTTATGGTGTCCTCTCCAGCTCGGCTGTATTACAGCCTCGTCCTCTCCAAACCATTAGGTGAGCACGATGAGGCAGAGAGTTTGCACATGAGAGCAAATACCACATTAGACAAATGACAACAAACAAAGTGCATCATTAGTAAACCCACATAACACAGCCGCTCTGCCTCAAGCTTTCACTCTCTCTCTCTCTCTCTTTAAAATCGCTGACTGGCTGATTCCTCATTTAACTCCAACAACTGGAGACGTGGTCATTCCAGTCTGCAGGAAAACAGCCTCCGCTCCACTGGATTCAAGCTTTCCTGCCTGCAGGGATGTTTTCCCAGAGTCAGACTGGATAAGAGTCGAGAATTTGAGCTGCATTGACCTGATGATCCTACATTCATGTGTGTGAAGATTTTAATACGAATGCTGGGATTGTACGAATGCTACAGGAGAGATTTATCGTTTCCTCATATTCCTCAGGCCTCCAACTGAATACAATGATAATTTTCATTTATGCCACTAGAGTGAAAGCTTACGCCAGGGTGCTGGAAAAGAGGGTCCGATCGATAGTTGAACCTCGGATCGAGGGGGAACAATACAGTTTTCGTCCCAGTCGCTGGACTATGGATCAACTCTTCACCCTTGTTCAGGATCTTGAGGGGAGATGGGAGTTTGTCCAACCAGTCCACAGGTGTTTTGTGGACTTGGAGAAGGCCTACAACCGTGTCCCCAGGGGAATCCTGTGGGGGGTGTTCCGGGAGTACGGGGTGGAGGGTTATAAAGGGCCGTTCAATCCCTTTACCAAAGGAGCACGAACTTGGTCCGTGTAGCCGGTTGTAAGTCTGACTCGTTTCCAGTGAGTTGGACTCCGCTAGCGCTGCCCTTTGTCACCGGTTCTGTTCAGAACCTTTATGGACAGAATTTCTAGGTGGAACCGGGGGGTGGAGGGTGTCCAGTTCTGCAGGCAGAGGATCGCATCGCTTCTTTCTGCGGATGATGTGGTTATTCTAGCCTCGTCGAGCAGTGACCTTCAGCTCTTGCTGGGGCGGTTCGCGGCCGAGTGTGAAGCGGCTGGGATGCGAATCAGCACCTCCAAGTCCGAGGCCATGGTCCTCAGTCGGAAAAAGGTAGATTGCCTTCTCCGGATCGGGGGGGTGGTCCTGCCTCAAGTGGAGGAGTTCAAGTATCTCGGGATCTTGTTCACGAGTGAGGGTAGGATGGAACGGGAGATCTACAGGCGGATCAGAGCGGCGTCAGCAGAGATGAGTCGTGGTGAAGAGCTGAGCTGTAAGGCCATAATAATGTACTTTATTCATCATAATTATCAGGTACATCTAAACAAGTTTCAATGAAGCTTGGTGTGGGTACTTATTATTTAAAGGGAAGGGGTGGGAGTTCATAAGTTCTTCTTCTTCTCACTCTTTCTCGAATATGTATTTCTATGTTTTATGTTTTAATGTTTTGTCTTACTTTTCTTGTTTTATTTTTTATATTTTTGGTTTGCATGTTCGAAATAAACTTTAATCAATCAATCAATCAAAACAACAGAAGTGCACTGAACCAAACCAGACCATTCAGTGGAAACGGAGGTTTGAGCTTCATTTTCAGATTAGAAGAGGGTTTATACTCAGCTAACATATATTAAGATGAGATAGCTCTAATGTTTTTAGGTTACTTTAAAATTTTTGGAATTGTGGTTGTACTTCAAAATATTGTTTCTGTACTTTGGTGAAGGGTCTGAAACCATGAATCGAGTCCGGACTGGGAGCTAGTTTTATTAAGATCCCTGGAACCAGCATTGTCGATGAGGTAAAAGTCGTCTTTGTGTGATCTGAAGGAGCATGAAAATGAAATGCACTGTCTATCACACTCTCAGATTTCAATGTTTCTGCTCAATGTCAGAAAATCATCCTGATTTTTTTGTATCTGCTCCATAAAATTAATTAAAATAATAAAAAAAATCATCATTGCTGAAGAAGTATTGCAGTGTTTAGATCGAAGGGGCAACGTGATGATTATGTTGTTGTAATTTTGTTGTTGCTCTTTTTCTTGTTTTCTTGTTATTGCCACATTTCTTGTGCAGGACAGACTAAAAAAAATAACCACCACTATATGAGATGCTTTTTTAAACCTTCAAGAACAAGAGGCACTCTGATGATTCATACAGAGTTCGGCTCACTTGTTATGACGAGAAGTAATCAGCCTGAGAACGGAAAAAAAAAAGTTGTGTAATCTCTCACGGGAGCTCTCCATTAGGAAAATACACGGATGATGAAGTCCCTGCAGGCAAACTGGGTTTTAAGGCTGAAGAAACAAGAAATAGACTCATCTTAGAATGAATGAAAATATTTGGCCTGAGGCTCGAATTATTTGACAGAAAACCTGCAAAATAAACTGGGGGTGTAATGAAAGACTCTGCTTAAATGGATTATGGTAATTATATGTCACTCTTCTCTTAATTTGCACATTTTATGACGTGCGGCGCCGTAATCGGTGGTGTACTCAGGCAGGTCGGGGACCAAAAAAATAATAGGGTAACTTACTGTTTTCCATGAGGTACCAGAGCACAGAGGATCAACACAGATCTGCATTTAAACATTTTCTGTCTCTCTTTGGCTTTCTGCAGTAGTAATGCTGTTCAGCTAAAACACAGTTAAAGGGATATTCCAGCATTTTTGAGTGAGGTTGTAGGAGTCGCATCTCTCTAGTAAGTATTCCAGATATAGTGCAAAACAAATTTCTGAGTAGAGCGTGTATTTATATTGAGCTGGGTCAGAGTCTATCAAAGTTATCTGGATTTTATATAAGTCTGCTAAAGACAGGAGCATAACTAGCATTCAGGTTTTATCAGCAGTTTCCCATTAAGAAGATCTGTGACACGTACCTCATATTTATCAATACCTTTATATTGGCCTTGTGATGACCTTGTAGTTGCATGTTTACACAATTAGCAATTCAAAAACCTCTACTTTCAGCAACTGTCTTTTAAAGGCAACCACAGCCCTCCAAACCTTTGCACTCTGGGAGCCTCCTCCACTGGTGCCATGTGACAGAGTCATGTTGCTCTCTTTCGACAGACAGTTAAATAAATATGGGTTATTCTACCAGAATTGTCCAAAATGGGGCTGGCAATATGTTAAAATTTTGTATGTTTTATGTTTTTATTGTGCCATATCTAAAGGTCATATATCTAGTAAAAGAACTGTTAATCTTTATATTGTATTTTCAGAATGTTTAGCAATGTTTTACCTGTCCCAAAGTTTGTCACAACCAAAACATATATTATATTATATTAAAAAATATATGATATTAACCTTTTAAGATTTCTTTCTTCTGTTGTCTATAGCTTTACAATTTTACAAATTTTCAGCACAGTTTTCACAAATAAATCAATAAAAATGAATATTTTACAGGGATATTCTTTATCATTTCCTTGAAGTAATAATCACCATATTAATCATTTTCACTGCAGACGCGGTAGTTCTTCTGTCTTAGCATCCCGTTCTGATTGTATTTCCATGAAGAAATGATCATAAATGTTCTTCCTTGAGCTGCGGCACCCCGCTGTAGTCCGTAATGGCCTGGCCTGAGGTCTCACTACAAACAAGCGGCTGCTTGAAGAGGGTAGGTGAGTTGTGTTCAGTCTCTTTGCTAAAGAAATGAGTCAAAGTTAAAAAGATGTTTGGTGTCTAGTACTATGGCTGTGACCCTATATGTCCTGTTGATGAAGTTAGGTGCTGTTCTGAGCATTATTTGTGGCTATAGAGTGGCGTTTTGGTTGAGCGTGTGGCTCTCTGTATTGCTATCCTGCGGTCGTTACTAAAGTTGGTATAACTAGAGAAGTAAGCGGTCGGCAACATTCATCTCTCGAGGGGGTGTCTACCTCAGTGTTTTGGTGTGTTTGACCCTAAATTAATTTTATGCCAGACTATCCCTTAAATACAGACTTTTTAGATTATTTAACTTAATCCACAGAGTTTGAACGACAGCCAAACATATTTTGATGTTGTTTCACTTTCAGCCAGAACCAAACACAGACCATTTCAGATACTGTATAAAAAGTAGAGTACAGTATGAATTTTAAACCCTGTCTGTGAAACTCTGTCTCCTCCATGTGGTTCAAGCTGTTGTTACACTCTGCAGTGTCAATAACAGATCTGTGCTCAGACTCCCCTTTGTTTTCAGGGTGATAGGAAACTAAAACAAACAGTTTAACAGTTGTTATGTAGAGGATCTATGAAAAATAATTAACCTGCAACCGATTCAAAAGGTCTCATTATTGGAGGGTATCTCTAATATGTCGGTCTGATCCATGTTGTCATATTGAGCTTTAAATGTTGGTGTCAAAACGGGTTAAATGTTGGTTTCCTGCGCAGACACTGTATCTTTTTAACAGGTGGTCGATGTAATGTAATGTATTATAACCAATTCATCGTACAACTTGTTTTAAAAAACGGTCTTTTAGTCTCAGTGAGAGACTTTAAACGCCCTTTTAAATGACGACGAGGCCACATTTTAACAAAACATGACACTGTGATACAGGAAGTGCCGCGAGTAGATCGATCGCTCTGACAGCCAATGGCGAGGACGCACACGAGGATTCGACCTGCCTTTGCAGAAAATCAACCAATCAAGGCGCCGGTTGGGAACTTCCGCCAAAGAGACGGAGCATGTCCATTGTACGGAGTGTTCTGAAAGAGTGCCGCGATTGTTGAGGGACAAACTGAGAAATACGTGTTTTTATTTCACACACAAGTTCGGGCGGTTTCAGCCGGTCGTTGCATTTTATCCCGGGGACGGAGCAGTGATTGTCGGATGGGGATTTAACCGAACTTTATCGGTTTGTTTCGGGAGGAAACGGCGGCGGTTTCTCCATAGGAATTTGATGGTTAGTTAGCATCAGTGCTAACACCGAAGAGAGCTCACATTAGCAGCTGCAGCTGGTTTCATTGGGAATTTCAGCGTTTTTACAGGCGGAAAATGTCTTTAAGTGATAGAAAAGTGTCGAAATAAGAGAAACATCAGCGACTTAGCCCAGCTAGCTAACAGCCGGGGTGTTTCACAGACGCCTGAACAACAACAGGACTTTACAGCCTCTCTACAGGCGGTTTTTTTCGTGTTTTTAGTGTGTTTGTGGATTTATTCACCTCCTTCAGGATGAATGGGTTCAGCACAGAGGAGGACAGCCATGATGGACCGCCTGCCCCTCCGTTTTACGGGCAGAGCTGCTGTCTGATCGAGGACGGGGAGCGGTGCGGCCGATCAGCTGGAAACGCTTCATTCAGCAAGAGGATCCAGAAAAGTATATCCCAGAAAAAACTCAAACTGGACATCGATAAGAGTGTAAGTGTGATTTTAAAGGAGTTTCAGAGCTTAAACAGGAGCTGAAAGTTTCAGTTCCAGAGGGGGGAAAGTTTGGCTGCTGTAGCTGACAGCTTCACTAACGTTCACCAGGAAGCTAGCTGGTTATTGTCCACGAACATGAACGAATTAAGAGTTTATTTTTTGTTGGTTTTGTGTGTCTTGATGTTGTTTTGTTGTAGTTATTGTTGTTTTCGTCTCACAGTTTGGTTTTGGTGCCAGAAACTCATGAATTCTCATCCGGGGTGTTCTGTCGAAACGTGCTACCGAAAGAGACGTGCCGCTAGTGTGTACGCATGCGCAGAATCCACTTCTAGTTTTGAGTACAGGGGCAAATACAAACGTTCTCCTATCTAGAATGATAGGGAGCATAAATAAGAACTTAATATAATAAAATAAAAATAAAAAGCAACAACAGCGTAAACAAAACACAACATAAAATAAAATAGAAATATAGCTGCTGTTCACCACAGACAGTCATATACCATTTAGTTCCCAAGTTACAATTCAGTTAATGCCACTCAAACAACAACAAAATTACAATGGTATGTCATTCAGATATAATGAACATATTTCCTTAACATAGTGGCTTTAATTATTCTTTTAAATGTAATGTATGACTTCCATAAACTGGTTCCTTTTATAGAAATACAACAGTCCATCAATTTAGTCCTGAATCTTGTTTTTTAAATTCTACTTGTTTTCTCTTTTTTAAAGTCTTTTCTGAATGTTGATTGGCAAAAAAATTTTATTAATATTTTTTTATGGGGCTTTATCGGAATGGGGAGCGTACATATTATTAACTTAGAACTTACACAATATGAACAAAATAATAACTAAATATGAAAGCGAACACATAATATAAAAATGAAATTAAATGATGAAATAACTTTAAGAGGTAAATAAATTTGGAGTGAAGGACAGAAGTGTATTAAAGGAGAGTATAGGGGGGTAAGATGATCCAGTTTTCATATTTCTGATCACTACTCAACTCTATTTGTAAAGCACTTTAAAACAACCACAACTGAACAAAGTGCATCATCCGTAATATTCCACGGATTTATCATGAACCCACCCCGCCGATCAGTGCCTCTGCGTCATTTCCGGTCCGGTCTCAGCATTCACATTATTCCACTTTGTAGAAGTTTGTAGGTAATGACTTGAGAAGAAAAACAGCTACACCGCTCAAACACAGAGCAACTCTCATTTCAGTGGTTTCCTTAAACAGACCTCTGCTGCTCTGAATTAGTCAGCTGTTGCCAGGGAAGCTGACTGTGTTGAGTAACATCAGCCATGCTTGAGTTTAAGTCCTCGCTCCAAGTTGACTACATGTTCATAAAAATATCCACTAATCCCTCCAAAGTTATCTGAACCTCACGCCCAGATCTGTCCTTCTGAAATGGTTGTGTAAATATCCGAGCATGTGTGTAACCTGAGATTTTCAGCTTGAAGATCCGAGTCAAACACAGACTGGTTATCCTCTCAGGTCGTTTCAGACTTTAGTAGAAAACTGCAGCAGGCCCGTGTCAGTGTTCCTGCTGTGTGTGACCTGCTGAGAACTTAAGGCAGCAGTTAGCATTTACATCGAACAAAGACTCAGAGGAAGCAGGGGGTCTTGATGGTCCTGCAGCTCCTCTTTTCTCCCACCTTCTCATGCAAACAGCAGTATTGTCTGTGAGAGGAGAGATGTCTAATGAATATAATTCTACGCCGTAACAGGAGATTTGAATCTGCTTTAACCTGCTGTTGATGTTTTAACTTCTGCTTAACTTGATTATTTTCTATTTAACATGTTTTTATTTGTACTTTTAAGAATTGAAGTGTTTTTTAAAGGCACTCTGTAGATAAAATGAGTCCTGATTCTTACACTTCTCTACTGTCTTTTCTGTATCTGTAGGTGCGACATCTCTACATCTGTGACTTCCACAAGAACTTCATTCAGAGCGTGCGCAACAAGAGGAAGAGGAAGACCAGCGACGACGGAGGAGAGTCTCCGGATCATGACGTGGAGGTGCCCGAGGTAATGAGACTGAAATGTTGCTTCATCATAGAGGTTGTTGTAGATGCAGACAAAAACGAAAACAGGAATCATCAGAAGAAGAAGAAGAGCTAAAACAAACAAAAAATTCAGAACGATTCGACCTTTATCTGGTTATTTTTTCTGTTTACTCCTGCAGTGACCTGTTTTCATCATTAAATCTCCTCTTCTTTAAAAGATAAAAACAGGCAGACGCTCCCATGACTCTGAGATTAGAACCTTTTACTTATACGTCATGATCTGATTGTGTCTGCGTCTCTGTCGCTGTTTCAGGTCGACCTTTTCCAGCTGCAGGTGAACACACTGAGACGCTACAAGCGACACTACAAGCTGCAGACCAGACCGGGACTCAACAAGGCGCAGCTTGCAGAGGTAAGACCGCCGCAGAAAAACGACTGAGAGGAAGTTTTGTGTCAGGACTGGAGAGCTAAGGTCTTAAACTTGTCTCTGGTTGAGGTTCGAGCATCTTTGAGACATACGGGGTTAAATAGTTTGGTCAGAACCAGGGCAGAGTTTGCTGAAGGTCACTGAAGGTCACTCGTCTCTTGATCTCAAACTTTGGGAGCTTCACTGAGAAAGTTACTGATGTGAGAATCAAAACAGGCAGATGAACAAACACAGCTGTGTACGTGAGTGTGTCAGATATTCACCTTTAGGCTTTAATGAGCAGAAAACACCTGAAATGTGTGAACTGAGGATCTACCGGTGTCTTCTCTCTCTCCATAACCGGGAATAACAACAGCAGCGCGGTTAAATCTACTCGACACCCTCACTGTCAACGTCGGTGTTGAATAAGGGACCGTCAATAAATTACTGGTTGATGTTCTCAGAAAAGGTTGTTCTCCTTCAATAGCTTCACTGTCATGTGACCAAAAGACCTAAAATTGATTTTAAATAATAGTACTAAGGTCAATCAATAAGAATCTGAAAAGTTAGCGTCACGCCCTCGAACAAACCTTTCTAAATCGGCTTTTAAGCTGTGAACTGTTGTTTTATTGTCTTTTCATTTTACGTCTTTTTAACCTTTTATATTGTTGGTCTTATTTCTTAAAAAATTCTGTATTTTAAATAATGTTTATTTCTGTAAAGCGTCTTTGAGCACCTGTAAAAACTAAATAACTAAAATTTATCATTATCAGGTCCTCTGTATCCCGTCTGACCCGGGTTTATAAGAGTGAACAGGCCTTTTTAAACACACACAGACCCTCCCCACACAGATCTGTCTGTTCAGCGTGGAAATAAATCTGTTGTTTGAGTTTCACCTCCTGGTCCATTCCTGCCAACACTCCTGTATTTCCTCCTGTATCTCAGACCTCTCTCCCGCCCTCTTCCCGTATTGTCATTTCTCCCAGAATCTCCTGTTGTTTGATGGTCCACCTTCATTCATTCATGAATCGGATCTCTATATTTGTCCAAAGTGTTTCTTCTGAGCCTCACAGACTCTGGTTTGATACTTTGACTTTACAGTTTGGGATGATTCAGGTCGGTTTAAGCTCTAAACTATATTTAAAGAGTGTTTGTTGATAAATGAGCACTTAAAAGAAAGGGAAACAAACCTGAGATCTAATGTTTACGTTGATCATCTTTCAGCGTCTCGGAGTGATGCGTTCAGGGCAGCCTCAGATAAAAGAGTGCTGTATTTCACACACAGATGTTCAGAGAGACTCATACAGGAGAGAGCGTGGAGAACAGATGAGGACTTAAATATTAGTGGAATAAATTAAAGTTCACATCGTAGCTTTTATTTTTTATTTTCATTTGTTATTATTAAAACAAAACAAAAAAGTCTGCAGCTTCACTTCGACTGATTTGAAAGGTTTGAACGTTGTTCCCGTGGCGTTGTTTACATGTTATCAGCTGTTTTTAACACACAGGAGAACTCGTACTCGTCCCAAACTCCGCCCCCTCTGCTCAGTGGAGAAAACTCCTGTTTGTTTCTGATTGTGGACTCTTGTGGACTCGGTGCCACCTGTAGTACCTGGATTTCCTTCATTTACTGTGATCTACACAGTGTCACAGGTCCCACTCCACACTAATTGGTCGAGGGGAGATCGTTAGACTCATTTCCTAAACCGACAGGTGGACTTTGCTGCAGCTGGCCGGACTCTGGTCCTCACAAAAACCTCCTGTATGCAGGGGTCTGGGCCGGTCGGGGGGCCGCGGTGAGTGGGGGGGCTGTGACTGTGGAGCAAACATCAGGAATGAATGAGTGAATGAATGGAAGGTGAATGTTTCCCCAGGCTGTTGGTCAGGTTCAGGTCCTCGTATTAATGAGCGCCCCACATCATGAATAAAGCTCCAGTCAACAGCCTTCAACCAGAACCAGCTGTCCCAGTACACTCAGGAGGGTCCGGCTGTTTTAGAGGGGAACGTGGTTCTCTTTGAGGTTCCTCTCCAGATCCAGATGAACACCTGAGACCTGATCTGATGTCTCCCTCCGCTTCTTTCCTCACTCTGTTTGTGTTTTTTTTACACGGCTAACAAAGTCGACCCGCCTCGACATTAAGACCCCTAAATCTGGGCACTGTCAGGTCACAGGATCATCTGAGCGAAAACCTTTAAACCGGTCTGGTTTTCTAGATCATAACAGACAAACTTGGACTTTTACTTTATCATGATTCTGAGTCTCTAACCTCTTAGCCTGGTGTCAGCTGACCTCCCCTCCTCTCTCCTCCTTCTGCTCCTCCTCCTCTCTGCTCTCCTCTTTCCTCCTGTAACACCAGAAACCTTCTGGTGTCCATGATCCTGATGACTGTTGAGGTTAGAGCTGCAACGACTGGTCAACGTAATCGACAAAAATCAATAATGAAAAAAGTCGACTATTGTCACCAGACGTGTTTTTTCCAGTGGAGTGAGGTGTCTTACTTCATTACCATCTCTGCCTAGAGTCACACATGTACAACAGTGTCTCTGCAGAGCGGTAGGGTATTCAAACATGGTGGCGCCGGCGTTGCACGAGTCAGCGATTTAAAAACCTCTCAAGTGTGGGAGCGCTTAAGCCGAGATAATAGAAGTGTTCCAACAATGGTACCTCACGATTCGATTATGGGAGCTTCAATTCTTCGATTATAATGATTGTCGGTTCGATTATTGCTGCTGCGATTCTTCGATTATTTCCATTTTTAAAGCTTTTCTCTGTACAAAATAAATTTGTCTTCATTTGTGTCGACATGTAAATAAACAGCCTATCAATGAACTCAGTTCCTCTAAAACTACACTCGATAAGTAAATAACGAGGGTTTTTTTCAACATTTGACTTCAAAACATTTTATTTTATGACTGTTATGTGAACGTTTGAACCTTCTCTGTTTGGGGTTAAAAGCGAACAAGTTGCCGCCTCACGTTTGTGGGTCGCTGACTCTTATTTTAAATCGTGTCGCTCTCGTCCGTCGTCTTGTTCGCTCTCTTATAAAACCAAAAGTACTTCCACACGGTTGCAGTCAACCCTGGTGGCGAGATAATCGACCGCCGCTCTTCGTGGGCAAAGACTCGACGATATCATTTATTTATTTTTCTCAAGCATCGACGTTAATAAATCGATGCTGAATCGTCACGATCAGTTCATCGACGCATCGATTTCTACAAGAAAAGGCGAAGAAAGAAAAATAACCTGCGAGGTTTCCAAAGCAGACCTTGAGTATCGTGGCGACCCGCCGTCGATGCACGAACATTTGAGGAGAAGGCACGTCGGCATGTCGGACGAACAGTTAGACTCGCCTTGGTAAGATATTCGCTTCATCACACGCAGACTGAGACATCACCAAGAAAACGTGTTACCGTAAATAAGCACACGGAGCTCTGCAGCTTCCGTATCCTCGCGGAGTTATTAACGAGTTAAATAAAGTTTGACTTTTCTGACTGTTTGTTTGGTTTAATGCACCTTATCTTTGAAAATAGACGCGTTCACCGATGGTGCGCCTTTTTGTGCGAAAAAAAACGGTAGCTTGAATTTACGTTTTCGTTAAATCAAATCTGCATTTTTCATTGAAGTACCTGTAATTCTGCGTTTATTATCGTTGTCTCAAGTTTAATTTAATATAAAGTTCATAAATATCCGATCAGTCGACGAATCGTTTCAGTAGTCGTCAGTCGCAGTTCTAGTCGAGGTTCGCCGTTTGATCTGTTTGTCATGACATGAAGAAAGTCTCCTCCTCAATCTGAATCTGAACCTCCTTCTCTCTCTCTTCTCTCCGCAGACGGTGAGTCGTCACTTCAGGAACATCCCCGTGAACGAGAAGGAGACCCTGACCTATTTTATTTACATGGTGAAGAGCAGCAAGAGCCGCTTGGACCAGAAGGGCGACGGCGGCAAACCGCTGGACTAAACGTCCCGTCGAACGGCGTCGACCGCAGCAGCAGCAGCAGCAGCAGCAGTAGCTCCGACACGAACCAACAGAAATCCAGAAAAACAAAAACAACAGCAATCACCAAACCAGGACTCAGCAACCAAAAGCGGCGAGGACTCAGAGGAGCTTTGGCGAGGAGGAGGAGGAGGTCTCTGTAGACTGCTGAGGATCAGGACTCTCTGCAGGGTTTCGAGTCGTCACGCTGTCATATGTCACTGTCAATATGTACAAAAAGAAAGCGTGTGATCTTTGCGATGTACAAAAGGCTGCCTTAAGAGTCGAAACGACGACTTTGTGTTTTTGGGGATTTTGGGGGATCTTCTCTTTCGCTGATCTGACTGTTAACCCTCGGAGAGCGCGGGGTCGCGTGTGCCAAACGGAAACGGAGCCGAACGAGGTCGAGTGTCTGGTTATTTCTTAATTTGATAGTGAGTGAAGGAGCCGTCGGGAGGAAGTTTAGCACATCAAGATCAGGATTCATGATGTAGCATTTGGCCACGCCCCCGCTGGTTTCCCTCTTCGCTCGCCGTTTTCCCGTGCGTATAAACTCCAGTACGGTTTCTTTTCTCCGGTAGATCGTTTCTTTGTTCGCGTCGTAGCTCAGTTTTCTTTAGCTCAGCCTTAAGTTGTAAAAAGTCGTGTCTGTCCGCACATAAGATTTCCATTTCTCGCCGCTCCTGCGTGTGATTGGGGCTTGAGAGAAACACTGTAATTGATCAGAGCCTCCTTTAAACTGATGAATGATTACCGATTGGAAAAACCTGCCCTCGAAGCCTTAATCAATCACACTTTTATTGGACGTTTTCTAAAGAGGTCTTAAAGAAGTTTTACATTTTTACGCCTAATTTAAAAACTGCTGCTTTCTGTTCATCGCAAGAATAATGTGAAGGTTAGCGCCACGCCTTTGACTCGCCTGAAATTCGGTTGAATCACTTCTTAAAATGATCTGAATGCATTTCCTCCAATCTTTTATTTATTATTCTGTCAGATATTTGTGCGATCGATGAAATGAGCGCGTTACCCGACAGTTTCAGGTGGAGCTGAAATTCGATGTTATTTCGCGGATTATCCCTTTTTTTTAATCCCTGATCGGTGACCCCATGATGACTGCTGAAAACCCTGAGAGTGAGTCACGCGTTTATGTTACAACGGCGGCTTCGCCTGTCGTCTCCGCCTCTTCACAGGGTCATTTTTTTGTTTTTATTCCTTTATTTGTTTTTTTTTTTTAGTCTCTGTTTTTCTTCAGTTGTGCTCGTAGGTTTGATAGCGTCATGTAGATAACACCCGACTTTATTAACAGATAGGCCACGCCACATTAATCTAACTGTTGTATTAGAAAAACAAAACATATTTAAAGATGGCCGCTTAATGCTCCTGATAATTATATTAATAAATGTATTGTACAGGAAGAGGAGGCTGGCTTTTGTCCTTTTTTGGTCGTCCTGTGAGTGTGTGAGAAGTTAAACTTAAAATCAAGGAAAAAGAAACTGAAGTAAGTCTGTGTTGTGTTTTCAGTACCTGTCTTCAACCACTAGGTGTCAGTGTAGCTCCTCAGTAGAGCTGACTCAGAACCTGCTGTTTTCTTTTGAGGTTTCACTTTTTAAAATGAGTTTATACATGATTTTTAACATCTTAAACACATTTTCACACAAACTGAGAATCTGTTTGTTTACAAACCAGAGTTTAAACAAATTAAAATGTTTTTTTTTTTTAGTCAGATAGTTAAATATTTCCTACTATTCTCCTACAGAGCCACACTAAAGGTCTTCCCTGAAAAAGTCTTTGTCTAGATGTCAGCAGATGTTGCTCCTAAACCTGGAGATATTGTTTAAAACTGAGGATGCAGCATCTATGATTTCCAGTTCTTTGTTGAAAGGACAACTGTTGTCCTTTCCAAAAGAGTGTTAAATTCTGATTCATCAGACCTCAGGACACTTCACAGATGAGTGATATTAAACCCATGCAGTGACTCCAACTACAGAGTCCTGATGCTTCTAAACCTGGAGATATTGTTCAGCATTAATGAAGCCTTCACAGATGTAGTAGATACCCATGACATGGACTCTGATGGTCCCTAAGAGATCAGGGATGCTGGTTCTGGACTGAGCTTGTGTTGTTTTTTTTAGTGCAGAGGATGCAGTGTCCGTGATTTCCAAAAAGAAACTCATATTTTAAAATCAGACGCTCATATTTTTTTATCTTTACTTGCTCTGCAACCACAACTCTGCATGAGCTGTTGTCGTTGTTTTAATGTTGCTGCTGTCCCCTCTCTCCTCTCTCTCTCTCCTTCCCTCTATCTTGTTCTCTTCCTCTCCCCCTGCCGTCTCATCTTTCCCAAGTTTCCTGCCTGTTAAATCAATCATTTAATAACTTTATTTGTCCCCCAATGGGCCGACTGGTTGTGCAACAAAGGGAACATTTAAAAACATTCAAAATCAAGAAAAACATAAAATTAATCAAAACACCACAAACAGCGCCCCTTTCCTCCATGAACTGAGAAGAGAGATGGCAGAAGGTTTGAAGGAATGTTGTTAACACTTTACTCTCTATAACGCATTATAAATATATGTATAATGTGTTATTATAACGTTATAGCACTGTATGACTTTAGTTATAAACACTCAAATAATCAATGTTTTATAGCAATAATCATAACACATTATAAAGCATTTTATCATGACTTACAAAGTCGGGTATTATAAAGTGTTATAACTGTTAACAACTCACTGACCACGCCCACATAGATAATGTATTATACATATATTTGCATATATTATAAACACTCATCAATTATCATAAGGCTTTATAACAATAAATATAACACACTATAATACCTGACCTTCTAAGTCATGATAAAAAGGTTTATAATGTGTTCTTATTATTGCTATAACATATTATGATCATTTATGAGTGTTTATAACTATAGTTATACAGTGCTATAATGTGATTATAACACATTACAGATATAATTATAATGTGTTATAGAGATAGGCATAGAGTAAAGTGTTACTGACATGTTTATATCTGTCAGTTTTAGCCAGAGGAACTCTGATCGATGAACTCTGATGGAAGAAACTGGAACTGATCATGTCGATGATGAGAACAGACGGACAGGATGGAGTTTGATTTCCTGTATAGATATTTGTTTTATAGATCCTGTAAAGTTCCTGAACAGAGACACTTATTTGACTGCAGACAGTCACCACCTTGTGTTTCCTCGCCACTGTCACTCGTGTTAGATGAGATGAGGTTAAATCCTATCTTAAGGTTAATTCATGAAACAATGAGCCTGCTCTTTTTCTCTGGAAGCGTCTTGGGATGACGGCTGTTGTGATTCGGCGCTCTATAAATAAAATTTGATTGATTGGTTGATTGATTGAGAAGCTGCATGGTTCAGTTTGTGGACACAGTTGTAGTTTTTAGACGTGATTTTGAGCCCATGTGGTGATTTCCACTGCAGAGTCTGTTTTTACTGAGGGGCCAAAAGATCAGGTCCAGTCAGCTGTCATCTCTGTTTCCTCTCTGGATGTTTTTCCATAAATCGATTAAATTTTCAAGATTCAACATTTATGTTTTTCTTAATCAGACAGAAACTTTGAATGATTTACAAAAAATCACTTTGTATTTTTATCTGACTCTGCATCACATCAACTCTGACTAAAGTCATCTAAAACTTCAGCCGATGAGGATCTCAGAGAAATTAAGGATTTAATTTAACATTTAGAAAGATGTTTGAATTATCTTAAACAAAAATAAAACATGTTTCCTAACATGACAAATGAAGATTATCTATGTGAAATTTTCTCAGAAGAAAAACAAACTATTATGGATATATGATCATTTTAGCTGCACCAACTGAAACCAAAAGTCTTTAAAGTGATCGTCAATCAAACTCTATGATAATGTTAAAAAAAAAAACGGCAAAATACCGTTTTTTTAACTCCAAAGAAAATTGGTAAAACATTTTATAATTTTATCTATCTATCTATCTATCTATCTATCTATCTATCTATCTATCTATCTATCTATCTATCTATCTATCTATCTATCTATAAATGCAAAAACAAAAGTACAAATGCCATTTTTAGTGTTTTCTATTGTAATATTTGTGAAAATGACCCTTAAAGTAAATATTTCAACATTGGGTTTATAATCAGTTTTACTCTCTCCAATCACAGATCATGGTTTTACGTCTTTAAGATCAATTATATATATTTTTAATCAAAAACATTGATTTACTCTCTCTGGATCTTAAGTTATAAGTGAATTCAGACCGTGGAGAAAACCATCACGTCTTTGTTTATCGTGTCTGAATAAATGAGAGCAGAGTCTTCCACAGCAGCTGGAGTGTTTAAAATAATTCATTTATTTTGACTGAACTCTTATATATTTAACTTCACATCCACTGTACACGACCAGACACGATCAGACACACTCACTCTGCCGCAGGAACCATCAGAACGTCTTTAATCCTCCTGATTTGGACTCTTGGAACACGTCTGTGTGAAAACTGCTGCTGCTGCTGTCTGTGCGTAAAACTCCACATCCACGTCTGTGTCCGTCTCCTCAGAGCGGACACTGACTTCAGTTTGAGGTAGATTCAAAGAAATTCAATAAAATCCTAATAAACAGGAGACATCAGAGGTCCGGTCCGGTCCGGTCCGGTCCTGCAGAACCCGGAGGAAAGTCTGGACCAGCGGACCTGGACTGTGAGTGAAACGGAAAAAAACCTCCTCCTCTTCCTCCAGACTCAGAGTTTGTTTCATCAGGTTATAATCCGACTTTAATCTCTGTGTGTTTCTCTCTGTGGCGAATCAAAACTTTCAAACCTGTGTTCATTTCTGTCCTTTTAAAACAGCCAGATTAATTAATCTATAATTTAACATGTTAAAAATCTGACTGCGTCCGAAACCACGAAACAGCCGGTCAGATACTTTAAAATCAATGTTAACGTAATTTGGACTTTTACTTCTCTGATTGGTCATAAATAAATCACGTGATTATACGGTAGGACAAGGGCCACATTTAGGAGGAAAATATTAGTCTGTCAGGTAAAAAATAAAATAAATCAGTAAAAAAAAAAAAAGTCTTCTCACGGAGTTAAAGTCATAATTTTGCAAAAAGAAAGTCATCGGCCTCATATCTCATGAATTAAATCAGAACAGATTTAGAAACTCAAGTAACTTTTACTTTAATGAAAATAAAGTCGTTTTAGGCAAATATCGGCTGAATTACGTCAATTTTTTACGAGATTAAAAGTATTTTATGAGGTTAAGGTGAATGAAATTGTACCATTAGGTGGATACGGTCGTGGTATAACAAGAGTAAAGTCATAATGAAATGAGATTAAAGTCGTTATATCGCGATATTTAAATCTTAATGTCATAGTCTTATAAGAGTAAAATTGTCTTCTTAGCCTTCCAGAAAACACTCCTCTGAAGAGATTTAAGTCATAAAATTAGAATTTCAGCAAAATTAAGACTGAAATCATAAAATGAGAATAAAGTGGTGATAGTTTATGACAAGATCAAAGTCATAATGTAACGAGATCAAAGTTGTTATATCGCGATACTTAAATTGTAATGACCCATGGCTAGATTAAAGTTGTAATGTCATCACATTTTATGGTTAAAGTCGTTTTATTATCCTTTTATAAAACATTCCTCTTAAGATTAAAGTTATTATATTATGAAAATTAAACTTTAATTACCAAGACTGCAGTTTGTTTGGACACTGAAGTCACTTCTTTTTTTCTGAATTATTGAGTTTTAGGGTTTAATCAGAATCGCCATCAACTTTTTTTCTGCCCTGTTTTCTGTAGTAATGAGATAAAAACATTAATCTTTGAAAACTGTTTAAGTTTAATTAAATCCTCTCAGAATTCTCAGATTATCTCGTTAATTCAGAAAATAATGCAGATTTATTATATACCTATAAAAAGTAATTCTGAGAGAATTATCGAATAAATCCTGATTTTTTCCTTAAAATATGCATAACACTACTTAAACTTTATTTTATAATTTTTTAATTTCACAATAATCTTACTATAATCTTAAAATTGAACCACTTTATTCCTCTAATATTTCAACTTTAAATCACCGCAATCTCGTTTTATTCTGACTTTATTCTTGTTCTCATTTGAAGAGTTTTTAACTTTGACTTTATCTGAAGTCGTTAAATCAGGAGGTTTAAGTCGTTAAATGATCAGATGTAAATTTATTCTTTAACCTCAGTCTCGGATTGAAGCCGTAATCTTACAACAATAATAATAATGATACTGTGGGATTAGAAAGAACAGCCGTGATGGTTAATCCAGACTAAATGACCACATGTCCTCATTCCACACACTAAAATTATGACTATAATCTCGCGATATAACAAGTTTAATCTCCGGATCTTCGTGTTTCTTCCTCCTGAATGTGGCCCGAACCCTCCGTCCTGAAAACCAGCAGGTCTGCTCGTGCTCGTGCTCGTGGAGATCGTGGAGAAAACAGCTGATCTCGGGTCAGCGCCGCCTCTCTAATCTACACTTTCAGCACTTCTCATCGAGTCTAATTTCCAATTTTCTCCTCCATCACATGTGGAAACCGAGATCTCCTCATTCCAGAGAGCAAAACACACTCAGAGCGGAGAGGAGGAGGAGGAGGAGGAGGAGACACAGATGTTCTTTGTACTGAGGAAACATCTGGACTACAGCGAGGGGCGCACAAATACCACAAATATACCACCAAACACACGCACGCGCGCTCTTTGGAGGAGAGGAGAACACCATCAGGAGTCCATGATGCTGCTGTCCTCCTCCTCCTCCTCCTCCTCCTCTGCTCTTCATCTTCTCCTTTCATTCCCTCCTTTTTGCGCATCGTCGCCTTTTACGCGCTGCGGTGCGTTTGGGTTCAGTCACTCAGTGGTTTTGGAGTCTCTGAGGAGGAAGAGGAGGAGGAGGAGGAGGAGGAGGAGGGTCACTGGTTGAGCTCCAGAGCCCAGACCTGCTGCGGCCACCCGGTCCGGCCCTTCACCTTCTTCTCGGCTCCTAACGAGTCCTGGAGAGGGTCGGTCTGCGGACACACACACACACACACACACACACACACACACACACACACACACACACACACACACACACCTTCATCATCATCATCATCATCATCATCATCATCATTATAGGCTTTAACACTAACTGGGATTCCTCCACCGTTCCCAGTCTGACCACTATCATGACCTCTCTCCTCTCGGCCTGATCCTCTGAATTCTGCCTCGTGCTGCTTTGTTGGCGTCGTGCGTCAAAACGTATAACAGACGCAAGTCTGTTTTATAGGTATAAATATAAGGTATTGATTAACTCTATATTGACACAGCGCCTCTCTTACTGAACTCACTTATTCTGACTGAATTCTTGAATATCTCACTCAGCTTCAAATAAATCAGTGATATTATTAAAGGTCATGGATCGATATGTTATATTTGTACTGATTTAATTTAATTTTCATAATTTAAAACTGATCAAACTCTGTCCTGTCAGACAAACAAACTCTGATTTTCACGGACCGTAAAACCGCGTTTTTGTGTTTTTGGTGTTTAAACTGAATTAATAGTTTATTCTGTTTTAATCAAACTCACTAAAACTGACTTTAAAGATTCTGAACATTTAAACTTATTTCAGGGATTTTCTGCCTCCATCGACATTTAAACGGACAGTAAATATTAAAATTATGTTTATGAATCTGCAGCTAAAGTAATCTAGTAAACACGTTAAAGTCACAGATTCAATATAATCTGAGTGTTAAGATTAGAAAAAAGCATCACTCCACCAAAGAATTAATTTAAAATTAATCTGTATTTGATTTCAGGATAAACCGTAAAGCGCCATGGAGCCTCGAGTTTTACAGCAACAACACAGAAAATAGTAAATGTATATATAAAAAAAACTGTTTTATAAGTCTGTGCACAAAGCATATATACATATATATATATATATATATATATATATTCTGTAGTTGCTTGAAGTGTCCGCACTCACTTCTCCATGTAACTTTCAGACAGTAAATAAACATCAGACCGTTTTTGTTTTTTTTGCTGCAGAGTCTTTAAATAATAAAACTAAAGCTGTTTAATCTGTTTAATCTGAGGATGCTTTTGCAGAAATTAACTTGTTTATATAAAAAATATGAGTTAATATGAAAGTTTGATTTTCCTCTTTTGTCTTGGAGAGATTTTACGCACAATTTACGACCCAGTTTACCGGGAACAAACTGAGACTGAAAAACTTCTTGAACAGAGTTTGTCTGTAAATACCATGACATGTCTAAAAAATATTAAATTAAGACACAGTTAAGTCTGTTTTGGTCTTTAAAACTGTAAATTTATTATATATTTTTTTATTGTTGTTGCTAAGATGGAAAATAAAACAAGTTTTTACGATCAGATTCTGAGTTTGTGTAAAAATTGGTAAAAAACCTTCTGATGAAATCAGAGCCTGTTTATCTGAAGTTTTACTTATAACACTTGACTTAAAAGTTTAGATTTCAGCTCAGAAACATATTTAGTTTTTCAATTAAACTTCTGAACAGATAAAAAGTTACACTGAGGACTCAGCAAAATACGAGAAATGTTCAATCTGATGAACTTTAGTCAAAGTTTGGAGATGAAAATAAGAACAAATAATAAAAACAGATATGAAGAGGCCTGAACTAAAGTCTGACTGAATTAAATCTGTAAAAATAATAAAAACAGATTTTTTTAAAGAGTCAATCAGAAAAAAAAGTCTTTAAATCAGAGTTTTTCTAATTTTCACTAAACTCCCCGAGTCTTTAGTCAGAGCTACAGAGGACAGAGAAATGTGGGATCATATTCATATTTCCTGATATATTTGACGGTTGAAGTCGTTCTTCGACCTCGTGACTCACCGGCTCCCGTTTCCTCTTCAGGTCCCTGTTCTCGTATTTCTTAATCTCGGCCTTGAAGCCCTCCGTCTCCCCGGAGTCTTTGGCCAGCACGTCCATCAGGTAGGCGATGTAACTGGTCGCCAGGCGTAAAGTTTTAATCTTTGAGAGTTTGGTGTCCGCGGGCACGTTGGGGATACACTCCCGCAGCTCCGCGAAGGCTGTGTTGATGCTCTCCGTCCTCCGGCGCTCCTTCTTCGGCCCCGACGTCCTCCTCTTCCCCATGCCGGCCTGCAGACCCTCCAGGCGGGCGTCGTGAGTGGCTCCGGGCGGTCCGAGCTCCGCGGCTGGGTACGGCGGCTGGATCTGGAAATCCGCGGGCACCTCTCCGTGGTTCACCACCCAGCTCTGGAAGTAGGGCGCATCCTGGTGACACCGCTGCACGAACGGGAAGGGCTCGTGCATCAGGTGGTGGTGATGCTGGTAGCCCCCGATCAGGTTCATGTTGAAGTGGGTCGGTTTCCGGGTTTTCTTCGCCCCTCTGGTCTTCTCTGAACGGTTTCTGCGCGGCCAAGAGGGATCACTCAGGACTCAAACATGTTTCCTCGAAGTCATTCACGAAACAAACCGGAAAAAAACGACAAACATTTACGTGATAATCGGCCTGACAGCGAGAGCGCAGGCCGCAGGAATCATAATCCCACAGAGGAGCAGGAGGAGGAGGAGGAGGAGGAGGAGGAGACCTCGGCGGGTTTCGGAGCTCCGACTCGAACCGTTTCCCGGAGAGCTGCAGAAATTTGACCCCGGAGAAGGTGTGAGGCCCCCAGGTTTATATGGTTTGGATGTGAGCGTGGAGAGAAGGCAGCCAATCGAGGAGGGAGTCTGAGATGGGAGGAGTGTCTGGGGAGGTTTGCAATAACATGCGCCATGGTGCCATAAGCTCAGAGCGCGGCGCAACGAGCAAATATCTGTGTGTGTGAGAAAGAGAGAGAGAGTGTTCATGGAGCTGAAACCTGCTCATGGAGAAACATTTCTCCAGATTGATCGGCCTCGTTCCACATGGAGAGGTTTTACGCACGGGATTTACGCACAGATTAAACAGCCACTGCTCCTTTTAATCTGTGTTTTTTAATCCAGAGTCAAAAATCATTTATTTATTTATTTACTTTCTACTCGAGATGAAAATATTGAATCATGCAGGAAAGTTGAATCAGTACCTGGAGGCCTGAGGTCACGACCTTGGCTTGTTGGACATTTGGTTCATCCTCTTAGAGCTCTAACCTGAAAGATTAGAGTCTGATTTTAAAAAGTAAAGTTAGTCAGTCTGAGTTCTTTTAATCCCTAAAAACTCTGGAATAAAACAACTTTATTATAAAGAAACTGATTTATTTGAAGGTTTTCTTGTTTAGTTCTGAGTCTGACTGTTCCGATGCTGAAAATCTTGGCCAAACCTCCCTCAGAAAAACACATGTCTGATCTTCATGAAACTGCTCTGGCTTATTCAAGGTTGAATATCATTAAAAATAACTCGATTTATTCAGAAGTTTTGCATTATTGGTAAAATGTCCATGTAGATTCTCATTCATCCGGGTCATGGTTTTCTTTGAAGACTCCAAAATCAGGCAGCTGGACTGTTGGTCAAACATTTTAATCCTGAAATCCTCAAAACGTTTTAATGAATCATCTTGAAATAAACAGATAAGATGTTCCTTTAATAATTCCAAAATGACAGCAGCATAGTATAGATTAAAAAAGAGAAATTTTAAAATTAAAAGATTAAAAATTAAATAAAAACTGAATGATGATGAAAAAAAAACTAAAATTTGTGGAGGTGTCTTTAGATGAGCTTTAAAACGAATATACTCCTGCTATGGAGGAATCATAAATGAATTTAATTACAGACATACAACCACAACATTTAGAGAAACAGACAATTTATTTAAAGAAAGAAAAAATAAACAGACACACAGACACATAAAAACATCCTCTTATTCACGAAGGTCTTAAAAGGCCCCGTACCAATGTTTCCACAGATATGACTGATCAATTATTGAATTATTACAATGATAAATCTTCGTGTTTTTATATCAGCTATACTATATTTTTAAAATCAGGAATAATTTGCTGGATTTCCTCAAAGATTTAAAACGACTAAAATCTCCATAAACGCGGAATCCTCGTGAATCTGCGTCTGTGCGTAAAAGCGCAAAGGTGTGTTCCAGAGCGTAAATGAACAGACTGATAGATTATTTAGTCTCTTTAGGACAGACTCGTGAGGGGAAAAGGTTTTTTTTTATTATTATGAGCGCATTAATCCCCCTCAGCTCCTCACACGCTAAACTCGCCATCTTATCTCCATCGTCTAAAAACATTATCCCATTACATTACATGACCTTGACGCGATTTAGAAACCATTTACGGCGGGCTCTTATCTAAATACAGTCATAAATCAGGAGGTGTCAGGCCGCTTCATGCAGCCTGCAGCCGAACATGGATTCCATAAAAGCTCTCCTGCTCCTGCTCTCCTCTCTCTCTCTCCTCTCTCTCCTCTCTGTGTGTTTACAGCTCGGCCCTGCGCTGCATACTTCACCGTCAGCCCGTGTTACAATAAATAATCATCAGTCACAACTTTATGTCCCTGATTTTACACGCATGTACGGTCTCTCCGCACGGAAATATTCCCAATATAGTCTCCCTGCAGAGGGTGTGCGTCATGCGTAAACTTGTTATTGTACTTTTCCCTGTTTGGACCCCACCCACTCAGTCCAGGTTCGTGTTATTCCAGCAAATCCAGAATATCAACCTCATTTTTATCAGATCTGATGCAAAAATTAAAAGAAAATCCTCTTAATTTAGCAGAAGACGGTGATTCTGGTGATTCTACCTCCGTTTTGAACACATGACTGACGGACTAATCAAGAGGTTACACCACCTGCAGCTGCTGCGGCACTCCGAGCTGCTTTCACTTTAATGCACCATTAATTTCACACTCCTGAGGGGAGCAGCTCACAATAATGAGACCGAGAAACTCTGCAGGACTTCAGATTCATATTTACAGCCGGACTGGAGGATTTCTGCAGCCGGTTAAAAACATTATGATTAAAGATTTACAGGAAAATAATCAAAACAACATGAAATAATGGAGGAGACTTTCAGAGTTGGACGTGTCTCCTTATATCTGTGTGTTTTTAATTTTAGTATAATGAAAATAAAAAAGAAATAATCAACCTGGAAAACCTCCTACTGGGTAAAAATCTCATTTTCAAAGATCTCCACCAAACAGCAGCAGTTAGTAAGTAAGTAAGTAAACTTTATTGGTATTCCACTTTTCACAGACTAAAGAGTCACAAAGTCCTTCACATGGACAGAAATAAAAAGATGTAGATGCAAATTAAAGGCCAAGACAACAACATTAAACAGTCATAGTAGCTCCAAAAACAATTAAACAAACGCCTGAGAGAGAGAAGATCATTCCAAAGACAAAGCAGCAGCACATATAAGACACATTAAAGTCAATTATGATCCCAAATATGTGAAACTGAACATCATCGTTCTGCTTCTCCACGTCTTCTCCACGTCATCCACCATCAGAATCTGTGACCTCTCCACAGTCACGACCTTAAACAGTTCACAAACTGCCCTCACTGACTCTTCTGTAATCTATCTTTAAACAGTCATATTTAGAAATTAACCCAAAAATTAAAAATTAAACTTTTTATACAGAATCATCACCGTCCAGAATCCTTGTCCATCCACCTTCATGTCTGTCCGTGATTATGGTGACATCTTGTATTTCTGTGCAGCTCCATCACTTCTCCAGCAGTTAAATCCTGTCTATCCTAGTTCACTACGTCTCATCATTATTAAATTTAATTATGATCCCAAACATGTGAAACTGAACATCATATTTCTGCTTCTCCACGTCATCCACCATCAGAATCTGTGACCTCTCCACAGTCATGCCTGTTTACCTCGCCTCCCTCTGTGTCATTTTTTTCAGCACAGCCTCACCTGTGTGAGTTTACAGATATTTTATCATTTTGACCCACTGTTTTTAACACAGAGGACCTAATTCACACTAAACACAAAATCCAAGAGGAAAAAAGTCACATTTTTACTGTGAAAACCACAAATATGTTTAACAAACCATTTTCATAACTTAGACTGCAAATATAAACTATAAACTCCAAAACATAGAAACAGTTTTAGAAAATATCACAGAAATTTACATCAAAATGCACCAAACATGAGGAAAATAACCAGGATAACTATGACGTACATAATTGATCATAACTCTGGTTTTATTTGGTCGATCAACACAATTTAAAAACTGATATAAAGTTTGAGGTCCTCACTTTGGAGACGAGTTGAAACAGAGACTCAGCGAGGGTCCGTCATGCAGCTACAACCACTTAAATATGTCACATGATCGACTCCAGAGGGTTAAACCTGGTAGCTACACGATCCAGTAACTATTCAACCTTAGATATTCTACATATATACCTACTGATACTGGGAGAACTGGTTTCAACTATTATGTCCCTTTAAACAGAATAAGCTGCTCTTAAACTCTGTCATTTATCTTTATACCTGTTGTCTGATGTTTACAATCATCACAGTTTGTTTGTTTGTTTGTTTGTTTGTTTGTTTGTTTGTTTGTTTGTTGATTGTAAATGTTCCTCGTTCTCCAGCCTCTCTTGTAACAGAGATCCTGATCTCAGTGAGACTGTCTGATAAAAATAAAGATTAAATAAAGTTAAAAAATAAAAATAGTCCAAACTCACCTCCTGGGATCAGATCCTTAAGTTTCATTGATGGTTTCCTAATCGTTCAAATCCTTCATTTAGTTTGTGCAAAAACATCAAAAATTGAACCTGAAAAATCTGTTTGTGAGTTTTTATTTATTTAATTATATAGTGAGAGTGAAAGTCAGGACTGTCGGACAAACAAAGGACTCGACTACAGCGACAGTAAAAAGTAAAGAAACGATAAAAAATGAAGAAAAAACACAGAAATACACAAACGTAGATGCAGTAATTTCCCTGTAACAACATGATTTCACTTAATAATAGAAGAAAACCTCATTAATGTCCAGCTCTGTCATTACACACCTCAACATTAGGTGTCCTCATTTTGTCTTGATGGGGAAGAGAGATCCTTCTAATTAAAAATAATTATAATCTCTTAAATTTAAAACTTGTATTAAAAATATTTGCTCATTTTAAATTCGAGGACGCAGCGTCTAAGATTCAGCTCCAGAGAAATCCCCACTGTTTCTGGATCACGGATCATGTTTATTTGTCGTAAAGTTTTAACCTGAGAAGGGTTCGAGCTGATGCGGTGATTTCCACTCCAGAGTCATGTCTGTTTTTTAACGCAGGAGGCCTAAAGATCACGACGATCCAGTAACAGTTACCGACTTCATGCTGAGATTTCTCCATGTATTCTGGATCTTTATTATGTCGTGCAGATCTGTGGTTCTCAAAGCGGGGGGTGGGACCCCT